CAGAATAATATTTGGTGAAGCAAAATTTAATATTTGAATTCTCATAAATTTAGTTAATTCTCAATAATAATCATCAATGCTAAAATTGTCATTGTCATATATTACCATATTATGATGTTAGATTGGCAAAGTAACTATATTCATGAACATCCAAATGTGATTTTGCCTCTTATAACCTATCTATGATTTTTGCAGATGAAACATGTAAAGAAATACGTCATATATGCTGAATATCTAAAAGTAACTCTAATTTAATCAAAAAATAAGAATAATGAGATTATATTCTGTTTTGGATATAAATCCATCTTTAAAAGAAGTAGAAATGTATCTACATTCTACTGTAGGTTTGTTTTACAACTTAAATATAATGTAATTCGTAAAATGCAAATATCATTTTTTGTTTGTTTTAATAAATCAGGACCATACACCTCACATATAATTCTTATTGGAATATATATACATTGGTGCAAAATTGACTATATATTATGATTACAAATATAAAAATGAATCTCGAAAACCAAAAAATAATTCTTACTTTAGAAATGCTTTTATTTATTTTTTAAAATATCAAAAACCATAGAAAACTCGTATCAGTAAAGTATAATATTTTTTGATTATATTATTCTATGATTTCATACAATACTACTATGAGAAATAATTAAAGCCACAATTTAAAAGTAAAACTATCGATTTAAAAATTGTATAAACTATGTATTTAAAGCAGAAAAATGATTTTAAAGAAATTTTCGGATTTTTTTATATATTAAAATTGAATACTTTTTGAATAATTTCTATACTTTTCACCGTGCAGGTACACAATTATTTTTCGATTTTTTTTGGGAAAATATTAATGTTGATATATATACGAACTTGAAAAGTGCGAATGTCAAAAAAATTTTGACACTTTACAAAAAAATTATCGCCAAATAAACGATGGATATAGGGTTTTCAATATATTGCAATATTATTTTTCTACTTATTTTTTTAAAAAAAGTTCAAAATTGAGAGTGGAATCACTTCTGAAAAGTGACAAAAAGTGCCAAATTGCCAGTATATGAGATTTTAATGTTACCAGAACACACATACCATACATAGTCTAATATTCATAATATAAATGAATTTTATTGACATCAATAAATTTGAATCATGGAGTTGATAAATATTAATAAGTTAATACTAATTTACATACAAATGTGAATCAAGATAAAAAAAAAAAAAAAAGGTAGTGGGGCTTCCAGGCACTTCGTGCCTTCTAGCCCTGATGATGTTTTAGTATCAATGAAGTTCTTATATATACGGGTCTTCCAGGAGCTTTTCACAAATTATATATGTTTTCATGTTTTGTCAAACATGAACGTACATGTTTTGTCAAGACTTCTTCTTCGTAAATGTTTTGTCAAGACTTCTTCGTAAATGTTTTGTCAAACATGAACGTAAATGTTTTGTCAAGACTTCATCGTAATGAGTGTAAAGGACCCAAAAATAATGTTTAGGTGAAGAGGTGAGATCTCACCCGTTTTTTCACCTGTTTTCTCACCCTCATGAATTTTCATGATTTCATCGTAAATGTTTTGTCACTTTTCTGTCACTTTTCAGGAAAAAACATTTTTATTATTATATATAAATGAATTTTACAAAACCACCGTTACCGTTCTTTGGAAATAAGAGTAGATGTAAAGATATTATATTGAGAGAACTTAAGAAACTACCGAATGGTCTAACATTTGTAGATTTGTTCGGTGGAAGTTTCTATATATCCCATTTGTGCCATATAATATTCCCAGACTCAAAGATTATATGCAATGACTTCGACAACTATATGGACCGTCTCAAACATATTCCAGACACTAACAAAATATTGAAAGAGTTAAAAGAAAAGATACCTATAGGTAAGATGGAACGTATACCATTAGATAAGAAAAATATTGTGAGAGAGGTTTTGAAAAAAGCAGAATATATAGACTGGGATAGTATATCTGCTAGACTATTATATAGTGGTTCTATAAGAGTTCATGACATTGAAACACTTATGTCAAAAGTTTTATATCTTAACTATACAAATGTTTTCAAAGAGGACATAGAAAAATATATTGAGGGTATAGAGTTTGTGAGATGTCATTGGACAGAGTTGTATGAAAAATATAAAGACAAGGAAAATGTTTTCTTTATAGTGGACCCGCCGTTCTATAACACATGGGATTTTCAATACCAAGTAGACTGGACTTTGAGAGACTCTTTAGAAACTTTAGACGTTTTACATAACCATCCATGCTTTTACTTTACATCCGATAAAAGTGGTTTGGAAACCGTTATGAGATGGTTAGAGGACATACATGACTATGAGTTTATATATGACAAGATAGAATATGAGAGAGGTAGCCGTTGACTTTTTTGTAGAGCACTCAAAATAGTATAACTTTGTCCGGACAAGTAAGGGTCTATCGTCGCTACAGGAAAAGTTACGGGTGTTCCAAGGAAGTATACTTTGAGAAGCCTTTTCCCCTTATAGAATGAGATAGGACGGTTATTTTACAAAACTGACAACACTTTGACCGAGTAGTTTTTTGTGCTGAACAAAAAGTGTCATATAAACATCTGTCAAAAACCGCTTTTTAACTTCACTTAAAATGCCACGTAAGCTACGTAAGAATATACGTAAGAGGAAGAGAGCATTGAAACATCCAATAGTAAAACTGACACCACAACAACAGTTGCAACAACAAATTATGAATGACCCCACTATGTTGCAACAAATGTCAAGCAACCCTATGCTTTTAAACCGAGTTATTGGTGCACAGAGTGGAGGTTTAAGAGCAGCACTTTTAGCGAAAATGGCAGGCTATGGTGGAGCTGCAGACGGAACAGCTTATAACCCTCAAAGTCAAATGAATTTGAGTTCACTCAAAAATCAAATAACAGATGTCAAAAAGTCAAACATAGACATACAGAAACAAATAAGTGAAAACGAAAAGAAACTAGAATATGACAGACACACAAAGAAACTCAATGAGTTAAACGTAGAGAAAAAGAAGAAAGAAGAACAACTGAAAGAACTAAGTACAGAGGAATATGCGAAAAAAGTGTCAGAAAAAGCAGCAGAAGTAGCAAAAATGGAACAAGATGTTATAAATTTGAAAAACCATACTACTCAATATAAAGTACTGAAAGATGAAGAAATAAAACAAAAAGCCCTGAAGACATATATGGATAGCGATGAGTATAAAAAAGAGTTGAAGCAAATGTAAAGGCAGAAAAACTTTTACAGTTGCAAAACCAAACCGTACAGTATGAAAACTTAGCACAAGAAAGTAAAAATAACGACGCAGCCATGCAAAAGGCAATGAAAAGTGCAGAATATATAAAAGCTAATAATGACTGGTTAGATGCCCAAGCCAACGCCAAAGCAGCCCAACTTATAGGGTCAATAAGGACAAAAATACAAGCGGATGAAGACAGTTCAAATGAAGCTTTAATGAATGCTGACTTTAAGAATGCCTTCGAAGCTCTTCATAGTAAGGTGAAACTAGTGAACGACTTCTCATCTGGAAAGAAACTGAAGTCTGAAGGTTTCGACAAAGAGTTAAGAGAAGTAGCACAAAATATGACGAAAATAACAGATGCAGCAACGAGACAGGCAGTTCAAAGTGCCTATGACGCCGTTAGAGCAACTTTTGTGGAAAGTCAAGAAAAAGAGTTACAACAGACCAAAACAGACCTAGTAAATGCTTTTTTAAAAACGAAAAGTCAGGTAGGACATTATGCTGCAGATGGAACATATGTGCCAGCTGGTGGAACTTATATACCAGCTGGTGGAACTTATATACTAGCTAGTGGAACTTATATACCACCAAACCCTCCAAGAGAAGCACCTGCACCAGGACTACCTAAAACATTTACATCGTCACATGGACACAGACACAGGCATGCACCAAAACAACAACAACAACCAACAGTTCAAAATCCAGCACCACAACCAACAGTTCAAAATCCAGCACCACAACCAACAGTTCAAAACACTGCACAGCAACCAACAGTTCAAAACACTGCACAGCAACAACCACAAACAGAGCAAGGACATAAAAGAAGTAGAGAACAAGGAAACCAAGAATTCTTAAAAATGCTTAAGGAAAATTATGGTTACCCAGATACTCTTGACTTTAGTGACAGATATAAAGAAGCTATTAGAAAGTTCAAGGAAGGAAATACTGACCCGAACCTATTTAGCTTTATGGTTCAGCACCAAATGGGATATAATTTCAAACCTGGAAAATACAAGCTCGCTAAGGGATATGATTTAATAGCATATCATCCAAATGACATGACTGAATTTACTCCGAGATATTTGGTGTCAGAGATAAATGATAATTCAACTATCTTCATGAAACGCGTAAAAAAATAGAGACGGAACGAAAGAAGAAAGGGTTATGAATGCGGATGACTTAAATAGGGAACTTGTTAAAAACGGTCTCGGAATATATGAAATGCAGCAGATGAGGTACAAGAAACTCCACAGGAAGAAGTTCAGATACAACCAGACATGGAAGAAATAGTTCAGCAACAACAGCTAGAAGAGCCTGAAGGAAACGAACAAGTCCCTCCTTTGGAAACTAACTTCACAGAACTAGATGAAGATTTGGAACAGCCGAAAAATCTTGACCTCAACAAGAGTATGCGGAGAATATGGAATCTCTCCAAGAGTCTAAGAAAAATTCGGCTGACATAGTAGAAGAATATCGAAAAATGTTCGCCGACATACAAAAGACTCCAACATCAGATGAAAATATTCAGCATAGAATGGAAGAACTGAAAGAAAGTGTACGCAAATACAACAATCCTTTTTACTTACGACCATATAACGTTCAATCTTTGGCTGAACTCGGTGAAAATAAAGGTTAAATTTCACCAAAACATATAGAAATGAAACATTGTTTAAAGTTCATTCAGAACCTAACCAATATGGAAACAAACCTACTTTTGTTTCTGCAGACTATGGAACTACAATGAGATGGGGTCATAAAGCTAATCCGGATAGGTGGTTCATAAACTTACAACCACAATTCCAAGAAGTTGTAGACGCAATGGAAGTGAATGGTGAACCAGATATAGCTGGTATTTTCAGCGCGGCTTTAATGCCATTGAAAGATATGAAACATGCAGATATTTTGGACCAGTATGAAATGAACATGGCTGATGGAAATATAACACCTGACGTTCTAGAACATTTATCTCAAAGAACTACACAGAACCATAGAGATGGTATATTTGGTGAAGAGTTTAGAAAGAAAGTTAGGGAGAGAGAAGGAAGAGAACCTATTGTACATGACCTTGCAAACGAAAGTTTACAAAATGTCATAAAAACTTACTTTGCAGACAATGAACCGAGAAGGGATGAATATTTAAGAAAACTCAAATGGACAGTACCAAATGAAATGTTAGTATTGAAAAACATGTTCCTTGACAAAATAAAACCAACTACAGAAATAAATGACGCAAGACTGAAACGTTGGGTAAAAGCTTTCCCATTCACAAAAGATATTATTGGTAACATGGAAAGAAAACCAGAATGGCTACAAAAACATATATTTGGAAACGAGCTTATTCCATATGGACAAGCTATATTTGAAGAGCTTGAACCGGAAACTCAGGAAAGAGTCATGCAAACAATAAGCGACGACTCAAATACAAACTATGACAAAATCTTTCTAGGATATAGGTTACCTGAGATGGGCGACCAGAGCCCAAAGGCAAAAAGGACATGGGAAATTTACAACATACTAGGTGAACATGAGGCAAAGATGCAACAACTTGAAGCAGAGGGCAAGTTACCAAAAGCGACACCAAAGAAGAAGAGTAGAACAAAGTGAAAGTAGTGAAGAAGTAACTTCATCTAGTGAAAGTAGTGGCAATGAAGGAAAAAGAAGAGTTAAAAACTCAGTCAGGAAAAGTAAAGCTTGGTACGAGTGGGTTCTATTATGACATATAAATCCAACTATTCTATATTTTTACCCATATGAAATGTACGCCGCTCAGAATATAACGCCAACAGTTTTGGATGCTATGAACGGAAATGTTTCCGAATGGTATAACGAATGCGACAATGCCATTAGAAGGTCAGAAATAGTTCCTGGAACTTACGAATATACAACTGCTGTTTCTTATGGAAACGTAGGTGAGTTTGGAGAAGGTTCTTCAACAACAGTAGATATTGCTTGCGACAGGTTTCATATTATTTCTATTGACAACTCATTCTTATACGTGGAACAAGACATTGAAAAAATAAAACCTTCTGCCAAGTTGTCTGACAAGAAAGGTTGCAATGGAATTTCTATGTCGGATACCAATATGCTCCAGAAGTTTTCATGGGATATAAGATATATTCTAACTCTGACTTAGTTCAAACAGTAACATGGGCAAACTATGAATGGTTCGCTTTGAGAAACTCAGTACAACCACAAGCTAGAGAACAAACAGACCAGTATGCAAATATTGAGAAAATAAGAAGACTTGACCCTAATGTTCCAGGAGTTTATGTTAACCTTTCTGGACAAACTGCAGCAGCAGTAACCAAAGTAAAACTGAAACTAAGAGTTCCTTTGTCATCTTTCCTCATCTTTAGGTTTTTAAGATACTTACCAAACTGGGCAGGAAAAATTTCTATTGAACTTACTCCAAGCAAAAATAACTTAGTCATTGCACCAACACAAGACCCATACTATTACAGACGTAAAGGGAACAAATAAAACGTCATTCGCCGAATTTTGCAAAGACAAAGTTGACTTAGACTTTGGTTTCTCAAACTTCAACAATGAAGTAAACTATTATTTCAATGCTGCTGGAACTGCTTGGGACCCAGTTAAGTTCACATGCGAAAAGTTTGAATGCAAGAGAATAGAAAGCAGACTTGCAGTCTATATGTTGGACCCAGATATTTCAAATGCTTTAGCTGCCAAATATATTGCAGTTCCACTTATGTTCCCTATACACCAAATATCTGTCAAAGACTTTGCAGGTGAAGTTGGAAACCAAAGTGCTGACCCAGGTGCAAGAACAGATATTGCTTTAACAACTGCAATGAAACATGCAGATACTATGTTTGTACTGTTCAGACGAACTATAAATGACTATTCTTGTTTCTACAACCCCGGTATTAAATATCATATAAACATAGATGGCAAATATTATCCAAGAGAAGAATATTCTACAGTTGAGGATATGAGGTCATACAACTTGACATTAGATGCTATGAACTTTAACAACAACTTCACAACAACCATTAACCCTGAAATGCAAAGTTCTATTATGCCATATGTGAAAGTATGGACTCATACAGGAGGTCAAAAAACTCAATATACAAATGGAGACCGTTCAAACTTTTGGCTTGGCATTCCATTTGCTGACTCAGAAGACTTTATGGGTGGTATTTCAACTGTTGGTACAGTTCAAATACAATATACTGGTGACAGAGACGGTCCAAGAACTGAGAGCAAAGAAGTTTACAAAACCAATAGCACTTTTCACGGAAGATGCTCTTTTGAAGATTCGTTCGATGAAACCTGCTGGGCTCCTCAGATTGGCATAACGACAGCTTCCATCGAGCAGATTTTGGCAGCAGGTCAGTAAGTTGTTCTTGAACTGACTTCTCTCCGTCAAATATTGACAGTACGCCAGTTTTGACATAATATTGTAAGATAAACTTACCTTTAGAAATATCTGTAAGTTTTGTTGTTATATTTTTGTCAACGTCAAGAACTTTCACCATTTCAGTTATACCAACTTTCTTTGCTTTATGGAAATATTTTGGTTCAGGCAAATATTGCTATTCTATAACATTTACCATTGTTTGTATAAAGAACTATTCTGTCAATGTATTTGTATTGTTTGTGTGTGTAAACTTTGTTCTGCTTCAATTCGAAGAGATACTCGAATACGTCCATCTTTTTATTCTAAGTAAAATGTCATTTCCGAAAAATAGAAGCGTGAGTGTTTCAAAAGGTTTAATGGCGGTGGCAGATGTGAAGTTAAATTCACCAACTCAAACAAACAGTCAAAGTGTTGTTGTCAATGTCAAAGACAGAGATGTTGAAGTGGGGAAACCAACGAAGACGAAGATGGTATAGCAATTGTTCCTGTAAAAGAACAACCAACATATCCTGAAGTTAGCAGAGACTTAAGTTCTGTTGCAGATATTCGAAACGACTACCAACAACTGAAAGACAAACTTCAAACTCAGGAGAAGATTTGTCAAGCTTTAGGTATAATGTTAAACTTGGTCGAACACAACCCTGTAAAAGTGAACTCATATGTCATTGCACCTCATGAAGTTTTGAAGAACTATTGAAACTTTTGACAGAGGCAGACGATATAAAAACAAAGAAATAGAACCCGACATTAGTTGCTGTGGTGTTTCATATAATGTCATTGACAAGAATACGTTATGAAAGGAGGTGAAACGTTGAACTTAAAGTATAGTTTCCCAGACGTCATAAAAATATTTGACGACCACAACATTTCATTAAAATTTATTTGCTAAGTAAAAATGTCAAAACTTCTTGAAAGATGTTTGAGAAAAATAATATAGACTTATTTCATGTAAAGGACTTTACACACTTTTGAACGATATGAAAAGACCCTGTTTGTTTGTTCGTGTAGACAAAGGAAAGTTCTATGTCTTTACAAAATATTTGAACTTCTTAGACAGAGAACTTCAAGAAACGCCATGTGAAAGTTTAGATGAAGTTCTTCTCCACTTCAGAAAAACTTTTTAAATATATATAAATGGCAGAAGATATAATGGTTTATACTATTACGACTAAAAAACCCTGAGTCATATAATTCTATAACAACAAACTTACAAAGTCCTCAAGGACGGTATTGTAAACTAACTTTAAACACAATGACAACTAAAGCCTGTTTTCTCTTTTGACACCAGAAGACTTCATTGTTGTGAATGGTAAAAAAATACTCCTTTGAAGATACTTACTCAGATATACCACCAACGGGTTTTGTTGACTTTATTTAATACTTTAAGTACGGGTGTAACATGTGCTGCAACTAGAGCATGTTTCGTTATGTTTGGATGTCCGACTGAGTTTACTATAAACAATATGAGCTATAATACAAAACTTATTTCTGGTTTTACTACCAACAGTTTTCCTATAACAGGAAAAGGTGTCATACAAGGAATGTCTGTTCCATTGACTTTAAAGTACCACCAATCTTATAATATTGTTTCAAACTTAGGTTCAAGTGTTATTCGAAATGTCGACAGAAACTACTATGACCAAAAGATACTTATGCGTATAAACAATACTTTCTCTGCTGGTTTGCCTATTGTTCATTCGAATGCAGAATTTCAACCTTAGTGAACTCAAACACTTTGGCAAGTATAACGTTGATCATTTAGTTGACGCAAACTTTGTTCCTGTAAAACTTTTATGTCCTATATTTTGTCAATGAACGGCAGAAAGTTTCGAATTGGAAGATGCAACTGGTGAAAGTATTGTATTACAAGAACAACTTCAACAACAAATAGCTCAAGAACAACAAATGCAACAAATGCAACAACAAAGTCAAGAATAAAAAAAATATTTTTTTTATTTTTATAAAAATGTACAGAATAGATGTTTCAAGATTTTTATGACTTCCAAGCATTCAGAAATATGTGTCCATTTAGAGACTATAAACAAATCAGTCGAGAATTTGAAACGTTTAGTCATTTTATGTCGACTCTGCCCCAGAATGTTAATGTTATGAAAGAATGGGATGTAGTCTTTAACAAACCTAAAAGCGACAATAGTTTCAGAACAAGAATGTAGACAGAAACTTAAGAAAATAAAAGTTGTACAAGTTGGCATGAGAGATGTTAGATGCTTGGGATATCTTATTGTCAAAGTTAGAAGATTTTTCAGTTCGAGGTATAAAGTTTTATACACCTTCTCCAAACTTCTATTCTATCTTCACTGGATATAAATATGAACAAGTAGAATGGAAAGAAAATATTATAGAAGCTTGGTTAGACCATGTCAAAGAAATTATATGCAATGGAAACGAAAGAGTCTATGAGTATATCTTATGTTGGTTTGCAAACATCTTACAACATCCAAGTGCTAAAAATGAAACTGCTCTCATTATAATTGGAAAACAAGGAACTGGTAAGAACACATTCTTTACAGATATTTTGTGCAAACTGTTAGAGGGCTATTCGAACCCGAATATGACAAACTTAGAAAACATCTGCGGTAAATTTAACTCTTCAATTGAGAATATGAAACTTATAGTTTGCAATGAACTTCAAAGTATAGATACAACAAAAGTTTTGAACTCAGATGCTTTGAAGAGTCTTATAACAGACAAAGTTGGAGTTGTTGAAAGAAAGTATAAAGACCAAAGAGTTTGTGAAAATGTTGCAAACTTCATTATGGTTTCAAACAATGCTGTTCCGATGAAGTTAGAAAGTTCTGACAGAAGATATGTAGTTGTCAGAACGTCAGATTCTCATATGCAAGATACAGAATATTTTGACGACTTAGCAGAAACTTTGACATCTGACTTTTACAACCACTTGTTCTCATATTTCATGACATTAGATATTTCTAAGTTCAATCCAAGACAAATTCCACATACCGAAGAGAGACAAACATTGTTAGAAGCAAACAAGAGTATTTATGAACTGTTCATAGATGAAACTGACTTTGAGTGTTTAGATGAAAGGTCATTGTACGACTCGTATAAACAATATTGTCAAGAATATGGTTATATGACAGCGTCTAAACGAACATTCTTGGCAAATGTCAAAAGTCTTTTAGACGTACAGAATGGTGTATATACAAAGAAAAATTTTTATGAGTAAATTTAAAAAAAAATATTTTTTTATCCGATAGAAAAGATGACAAAATTCATCTCAGTAAACAAGTACATGTCAGGACTTAAAGAAGAACTAGACCCATTCACATATTTGAATGTTTACTTCTACCATTTTGAAAAGTCTTCATTCAGCAAAGTTTGGAACATCGAACCAGTTAAGTTTGCTATTGTGACTAAAAACGGTGCGAAATTTGAAGACTTAGACATAGAAGGTTTGTTAGCAGTCAAAGAAAGTTTTGACAGAAAGTTCTCAAACCTTAAAGAAGGCAAAGCATACAAACTTGTTATACCTTATGAACCAAAGAAAGCAGACGACTATGAATATTATGAGTCTAAAGTTGTAGAAGTTCAAGGTAAATTGGGTAAAAAGATTTTAGAGTCTAAGCCAGTGTTTACTCCTAAAGAGGAAGAGAACATTGACATTGACCCAGAAATGTTCTAAAAATAAAATTTTATTTTTACATGTCAAATTTCTTTTTCTCTGGAACTGGTTCAGGTTCTTTCTTCTCTTCTACTTTCTTCTCTTCTTCTACTTTCTTTTCTTTCTTTTCTCTCTTCTTCTTCTCTGGTGGAGTTATGTCAAATTTCTCCGAACCATATTTATGTAAAAGTTCTTTGTCCTTTAATAGCTCATCTATTCTGTTTTCTATTTCATCTTCAAGAACGGCGCATGTGTCTTCTTTGCATTCTAAGAAATTTTGTTGGACTTCATCTCTCCAAGAGGCGTCATCTCTGTCAACAAGTCTGTCATTGACAAATTTTAAGACTTCTCTGCCTAATGTTTTATGGTTCTTGTCATATTCCCAGAAACAGAACTTTAGAACAAATTCACCTTTCTTGTTTACACTATGTAAGATTTTATGGTCGACAGATGTTTTGCTGTCGAAAAGCTTGTCTCGAATATAGATAGCGAAATCGCTAGACATTTTCTAAAAGATAAAAATTTTAATTTTTCTAAAAATATGTTAGAAAAAAAGTTTGCTGACATTGACAAGAAATTTGAGAATGTTTTAAACAAGAACAAGAGGAAGTTAGAAAATGCTCAGATAAAGCCTATACATGACAAGTTCTTATTTGCTCAGAATGGTATAACAGGTCTAATTGCACCACCTGGGTCGGGTAAGACTTTCACTTATCTTAAAATGGCTGCACAACAACAAGAACTAGATGAGAAGAACCCATTCTATGAGTTAGTTGTCATTTGTAGTACTTCTGGTCAATTTGACCAAACCGTCAATTCGTTCAAAGATATTATAAAGAAGTCTAAGTTAGTATGTATAAAGGATACTGAGTTGTTAGATTGGATAAAGAAGTACCAAAGAAGAGTTTTAAAGTATAATGCTATAAATGAGTATATAAATTCTAAGTTTAAAGACCCAAATGAGGAAATGCAGAGAATATTAGAGAAGAAACACTTCAGAAACAAACAGAAAGAGATAGAATACATTTCGAAGAAATTGCAATCTTACGATTGGAAGACATACCCTCACAGATGTCTTCTTATCTTAGATGACTTTGCTTCTCATCCTTTGTTAAAGAATAGAGAACAAGATATGTGTCGAATTCTTAAGAAACTTAGGCACTTTAACATTTCAGTCGTAATATGTGTACAGACAGCAAAGAGTTTAAGTAAAGATGTTAAAAGAATACTTACTGACATTGTACTTTTCCCCGGATTGTCCGAAGACGATTTCATGGAACTTATGAAAGAGTCCATGGCAGGTAAGTTTGACAGACATGAACTATGGGAGAAGTACAAAGTCATACAAGACCCTCATACTTCTTTCAGAATTCATATCTACGCAAACAAAGTTCAAATTGTAAAAAGTCAAGCTTGAAAAATAAAGAGTGCAATTTACTCTACTTGTTTGAAGTTGTCAAAATACTCTGTTATTTTTTCCTTTAACAATGGCAAATCTTCTTTGAAGGTAAGTATTGTACAACCTTTCATATCATAGTGTGTTTGAGGTAACGTATCTTGAACTATTTGTTTCACATCTTCATTCGGTGTCATTGAAATCGGTAAGTTTTCGCGATAGAACCAATTTCTGTCAGATTTGTAAATCTTAGCAAGGTCGTAAAAGCTTTTGTTGTTTCTTCTGACTAAATGCAACATAACCATATCTCTGTCTTCTTCATTTTCCATCTCTTCAGTATAAATCATATACTTATAGTTCTTTTCCTTTCCTTTTGGTACCGAACGTGGTATTCTTTTCTGAATGCTTTTGTCTTTTGCTTCAAGCTTGTTCTCTAGCTCTTCACGTTCTTGTCTATGAATTTCGTCAAGAAGTCTGTAAACATGCCATGCATAACGAGGCGAAGCCCACATTGCAACAGCATTTACAAGAAGTCTATGTACATAATATCCTCTCAAACCATTTGGCAATTTTTCACGATTTTCATAGAGTTTTGGCGACTGGGTTTTTTTACCTACTCGCTGTTCTTCACTGTTTTCAGAAAAAAGTATGTCTCGCTGTGCTTCGCTCAAAAGTTCTTGTGTGCTTTGGTTCCTAAACCAGTCTTTAGGAAGCTTAGTATCTGGAGCAAAACATGCTGTCAAAATACTTTGCATTTGGTACATATCGTCTTTGACCGAACGAATGAGACGGAGTTGTTTGTTAAACTGTATGTACTCATATTCTTCATTTATAGCTTCATGGACTATAACTGTTGTTGTGTTCTCTGTTGTTGACATATCTGTCTTTACATACAAAATAAAAAAATAAATAAAAATAAAACTAACTTTATTTTCTATCTTTCACAAAAGACCAAAAATAAACGCTTTACATGTATTTTTCAGCAACTTCGTCAAATAATTTTATAGCTTTATCTATCTCATCTACTTCAAACGTTTCTTTACCTTTCGTGGGAGCACCATACATTTTCTCAAACTTTTCAAGTAGTTCTGTTTCAGCAGCTCTCATATCGTTAACGAACACAACCTTGACTCTATTGACTGTAGAGTCATATCTTTGAGTTATATTATATGTCCTTCCTATCTTATATCTTTTTGTATTGAAGTCCTTCGGTTTCTGAACGATGTAAAGTAAGCCTTCACTGCAACGTTCCGTATCGAATGAACCATATGTTATGAAGTTATATCCAACAACTGGGTCTAACCATAACAAAACTATTGGTATAAGACTTTTGTCGATGAGATATGCTGTAGTTCCATAGAATCTTACCGATATCATAAGCTCAGGATTTCTTGTCAAAATTTTCTGAGTAGAAGCATTTCTAACCCAGTCGTGTGTTTTCTTTCCAGATGGAGATATAATGTCTGACAAAGAATATTTGTTGTATTTCTTTGAGTATCTTACGTTTAAATCACCAATTCTAACCAATTTGGTGTCATTGTCTATCTTTTTAACTGTTTCAAACTCAATGTTTGTCATATATGTCTTTACATACAAAATAAAAAAATAAATAAAAATAAAACTAATTTTATTTTTTCTATCTTAAGGAAATTCACTGTTTTCATAGAGTTTTAGGCGACCCCGAAGGAAGTCGGTCTCGCTGTTCTTCACTGTTTTCGTACGGAATCTCTACCCTCGGTTTTCCTCGGGTAGCAAACATATGAGGAAATTCATGAAATTTGGTCATTTTTTTCAGCAAAAATAATGTTTATGTTAGAATGTTAGATCTAACATGTTTTCTAACATGTTTTCTAACATGGTCCAAAACACACAAAACTCATGAATTTTCATACGGAATTCAGCAAAAATAATGTTTAGGGTAGAAGGTTAGATCTAACCTCTTTTCTAACCTCTTTTTTTCACAAGCGTTTTACATGAATTGTACGATGTATATTTGAAATCCTAAACAGTTTTGTAGCTTCTATTTCTTCGCTGAGGATATCGAATGTTTTAACTATGCCGAAAGTCTCTTTATACTTCTTCTTGACGTCAGATAGAAGGAAATCTTCTGCTGTTGGATAGTTTTTGTCAAGACTTCTTCGTAATGAGCGTAAATCAGACAAAAATATAATTTAGGGTAGAAGGTTAGATCTAACCTCTTTTCTAACCTCTTTTCTACCCTCTTGAATTTGTCATGATTTCATCGTAAATGTTTTGTCAAGACTTCTTCATCGTAATGAGCGTAAATCAGACAAAAATATATTTTAGGGTAGATGGTTAGATCTAACCTGTTTTCTAACCTGTTTTCTACCCCAGTTATTTTATAAGCGTTTTACATGGTAAACGTTATGAATTCGTGAGACTCTAAACAGTTTTGTAGCTTCTATTTCTTCGCTGAGGATATCGAATGTTTTAACTATGCCGAAAGTTTCTTTATATTTCTTCTTGACGTCAGATAGAAGGAAATCTTCTGCAGTTGGATAGTTTTTGTTCAGAAATTCTAACATGTCCATTTTATTTTCTACCGGCTTTTCTGCTTCTTTCTTTAAGTCTGCATAGTCGTTTCTCATTCTTTCTATCTCTTTGACGGAGTAGTTATATTTCCTAATTGCTGCCTTACATTTAGAACATTGCGGGTTCATTTTTGCGTTATACATTGAAATTTGACCTGCTAAAACAACTAAAGCGTCAATGGTTTTCTTTAACTCAAAAGTTGCTGGTTTTATTTGTTCATTCCATACCTTACCTCTTCTATCTTTATCTCTTATCTGCCATACACATTCAGCAACTAACGAAACAAAGTTGTCGTAGGTCTTAAACTCCCCGGATTTATATATGTCAGAAACATTCTTATATACCATGTCGCAATCTTTGTCCATAACCTTATGGTTGCAATGAAATCCTAGAAACTCATAGTTTACCTTTCGTATGAACTTCTTTATTTCTACTGAGTCAGTTGCTTTGACTTCTATTTCATCGAATTCAGGAATAGTGAGTTTTTGTTGCTGAATTTCAGGCAATTTGGGTAAATGGTCAATAATGTCCTGCATTTCATAAAGATACTGTTCATTTGTTTCATCTTTCGCACAACAGTCTAAATTACATGTTAACAGTTCTTGCTTTATCTTCTGGATTTCTGTTTCGAAAGTATATGAAGAAGGAATGAAGCTTTTCATCTCTACTAACATTGACGTAGGATTCATAACTAAAGAGTTTGGTGAAGTTGTTGTTTGAACTGTTGTTGTGCCGATTGTTGAAATCATATCTTTTATACAAAATAAAAAAAAATAAAAAAATAAAACTAACTTTATTTTTTATTTCGGGAAAATTCATGAAAATTCAAGAGGGTAGAAAAGAGGGTAGAAAAGAGGTTAGATCTAACCTTCTACCCTAAATTATATTTTTGGGTCCTTTACACTCATTACGAAGAAGTCATGACAAAACATTTACGAAGAAGTCTTGACAAAACATGTACGAAGAAATCATGACAAAACATTTACGAAGAAGTCTTGACAAAACATGTACGAAGAAATCATGACAAAACATTTACGATGAAATCATGAAAATTCAAGAGGGTAGAAAAGAGGTTAGAAAAGAGGTTAGATCTAACCTTCTACCCTAAATTATATTTTTGGGTCCGGGAACAACTTTCTCTCAATTGGAGCTGTAGCATACTCTTTGCGTAAACGGTTCAGACCTTCTTCGAACTCTTGGTCTCTCTTGGACTGAGATTGGAATTGGAATTGTGGTTCTTTAGGTTCCTCTGGTTTGGGAATGGACTGGGTTGGTGGGACGTCGGACATTGTCTTGAAACAGTACAAATATTGTCTTGAAACAGTACAAATATTGTCTTGAAACAGTACAAATATTGTCTTGAAACAGTACAAATATTGTTCTGAAACAGTACAAATATTGTCTTGAAACAGTACAAATATTGTTCTGAAACAGTACAAATATTGTTCTGAAAAAGTACAAGTATTGTTCTGAAACAGTACAAATATTGTTCTGAAACAGTACAAATATTGTTCTGAAACAGAAAATTTTTCTCACAAATTGAGAGCTTTTACGGGAAATTTGTTCTGAAAAAGTACAAGTATTGTTCTGAAACAGTACAAGTATTGTTCTGAAACAGTACAAGTATTGTTCTGAAACAGTACAAGTATTGTTCTGAAACAGTACAAGTATTGTTTTCATGAGTTTTCTACGATATTAGAAAAGAGGTTAGAAAAGAGGTTAGATCTAACCTTCTACCCTAAAAGTATTTTTCAATACTTTTTCAGCACTTTTCCGTAGTTATATATGAAAGACAATTCGAGATAAAAGTCATAGTACAATGGAATAATATGTTGCACACCATTTGTTGTGAACCAAACTTGAAAGTCAGAGAAACTGTTACTAGGTGGTTCGTAGAATTTAGAAGCAAAGTCATAAAAGTCCTTACCAATACATAGAAAACTATTGTTGCTTGAACTGAAACTTGCATGACACATAACATTTTGAGGGTCAAACACGTTTCTATAAACTGTCAAATCTGCTGGTGGAAGTATAAATTTAAATGGACCATCTGGTGGTAATGGTTCGTTCTGGTTTAGTAACCGAAGAAATTGTGCCCAAGAACGTTTGTCTACTTCCCAAAATAAAACTCTGTATCTCTTGGAGGTTAATTTCAATCTTTTGAAATGAAACGGTGGAGTTCATCTTGTCATATTCTAGTTTCAGATAGTATGTTTCCATTTAGTAAAGAGTCGTATTTTTCTTGAAATTCCCAATAATATTTGTTCATTTGAGTTTGAAAGTCATTTAGAGTTTTCTCAAGACTTTCGTCTGAACGAACTGTAAAGATTCTCATTTCGTCAAATTTGTCTATTAGACCACCAGAACCTTTATACTGCCCATGAAAATATACTGCGAACATAAATGCGTTAGTTCTATTTGAAAACAAAACTTTCTAAATGCTATTGCCTTTGCATCTGAAGGACTTTGAAGCCAACGAATTGGATAGTCAAACCTGTATGCTCGGATGAAAATTTCTTCATCTGAAATAGTCCTACCAGCATTTGTAAAGATATAGTCTAACGGTTTTGTATCTGCTACTTTTGTTCTTTGTTTTTCAACCTGAAGCATTTATATATGTAAAAATATATTGTTTTAAAATGGTATGCCATTTCATATTTCTCATCTAAACACAAGTTTCCTTCAACTTGAGGTTCACTAACAAACTCAGCGTACATTTCAAATTCGAATAAAAAAATATTTTTTTCTTTACTTTACATAACCGCCTGCTGCCATAAGTCTTTGACGCCAACCCATACCAGCTAATGAAGGTTGACTTGGTTTAGTTTCCAAACTAAACTTTGGTTTTGGTTTATCTTCAGTTTTTGGTTTTTCTTCTTCTATCGGTTTTTCGTCACTTTTCGGTTTCTCTGACTTTACTTCACTTGCAGGAACAGTTGTGTTGTCAACATCTTCATAAATATCATATGCCATTTTGTTTTTGTTTTCCTTTCAACTTTTTGTGTTTGTTGTAAAGTTTAGAATATTTCGACTCTAAGTCAATGAGATGTTCTAATAATGAACTGTTGGTCAGTGAAGTAAACTTTTCCATCTGTTGTCTCGAAAGCTCCTTCAGACTTCAATATTTTATTTGTGAGAGTCTGTTTCTTTTTTGAGATACTAGCCGTTCCATTTCTATGAAAAGTGACTTTGTAGTTAGGGTTTGTATTTCCAGACCTGGCACTTTCTATTATTGAATTTTTCTCTTCATCTGTAAGTTCTTTGACAGTTTTGACAATGGTTCTGAACTTTTTGTTTGTGGTGTCAAATCTACCGTTTTCAAACTTCTTCGGTCATTTCATCTCAGTAAAAAATTTTAGTTTGGTTTGTTTTCAACTGGTTGTTGTTGTTTTTTAAGTCGGTCTAAAACTTCCTGAGGTATAGGAAGAACTTGACAAACACGTTGTGTAACTGCTGGAAGCCGACAAATCCATCTTGAACCCATTTGTCTCAATGCTGTATTGTTCATTTCATCTCAGTAAAAAAACTTTACATTCCCCACGTTTGAGGCGGTTGAGGTTGGTTATTGTTTACCCATTGTTGTGCATGGTTATATCCTCTGTTAAAGAATCTTTCACCTTGGTCCATATAGTGTCCTGCTTGGTTATAGTAGTCATTTGCTTTGTTATAATAGTTTCCTGCTTGTCTTCCTACATTGTCCATCCATCTTGAACTTTTCCTCTTGTTTCAGGATTTGGAATAAGATTTGTTGCATCTCGTGCTACATCCCAACCTTTCTGTACAGTTTGTATAATAGGTTGTGCTTTCTCTTTAAGTATACCTAATGTACTCAAAATCTTCCTTCCAACTCCAAATACACCTCTGGCTATTGTTCCCACTGCGGGCAAAAATCTGGATGCAACTCCTGCTAATGCGCCAAATAAACCCATTTCTTATAGGATAAAAATGACGAATCCAAACAAGGACCCCTATGTTTCTAAAGCGACAAAGAAAGCACTCATGATAAAAATCTTTAGTTCAACACCAAATGCTTGGTTATGGATATCTTGGAAAACATTCCGAGGTATAGAGAAGATGGACCACCATACTGGCTAATATTTGTCGGTCAAAACACAAGATACTGTGAAGCCATACCATTACAGTCCAAAAATATTTTAGATATCTTAGCAGCTTTGACAATATTCGTTGACAAATACCATCCAACAAAACTGACATCTGACTGTGAAAGTTCTTTCAAATCAGATGATGTAAAAAACTATCTGCGTTCAAAAAATGTAAACCAATATTTCATTGTCGACCAAAACCATTCTGCTCTTGGTGTCATTGACGGTTGTATAAAAATGTTAAGAGACTTAAACCAACCACAAGGTGGTGAAGCAAATGAAATGTCATATGACGACAAATATAGACACTTCTCCATGGCAAAGATGAGACAAGTTTTAAATATTTACAATAGCCGTAAACAAAAAGGTTTGGGAAACCACTCCCCCGAAGAAATGAAAAATAACCCTGACTTAGAGAAAGACTATATATTTAATAATTTAGTCAAAAGAGACAAACAAGAAAGAATGCCGGGCTTCAAACTTCAGAAAGGTGACAAAGTAAAAATAGAAATACCTAAACGCGACCCATATGAAAATACTATTGACTATGACAACAATGGGAACCCGACAGGTACTCACATTCGTGTTCGTAAAAATAGAAGAAAGTATACAAGAGAATATTATGAAGTTTTAGGCAAACATGGCAAAATGTACACACTGCAAGCAGAAGATAAAACTACTATTGTCAGACCTCGTTTCAAACTTGTCAAAGTTCAAGGTGGTATACTTTCAAAGACAGTTCCTAACAAATATAAGACAACTCCTGACGAATATGCTAAAGAAGTTGAAAATGACGACTAAGCATTTCTATACCATGCGTAAACTGTCATGTAAGGTGGCATGTAGTCTTTACTTTGTCCCGTTGTTTGCGTATATCCTGAAACGCGATGTGTATGGTTTCCTCCTCCCTCAGTGTTACTCCAGTAACAATTTATAGCAAACTTAACGTTGTCTTTAACATCATATCCTTTACCTTTTGTCATTGCTGACCAATCCCAATATCTATGCTTATGCCAACCTGCTTGAGATGTACTTAAATCTATGTAGTGACTATGTGCAGGTAAATTTTCACCTGAAATCGTTTTACTTCCACCTGTTTCCTTTGAAGAGTTTGCACAATACAAAAACCTGTCGACTATTTGAGTCCAAGTTCCAAAACCAAGTACTACTTCTGGTCTGGTAGAGTTCATTGACGTATAAATAGAGCCTATAGGATATAATGTTTGAAGTATTTCTGTCTTTAATGTTTGAAGCTCTGTTTTGTCTGCTTTCTTATCTAACATTGCGGGTAGTTCATATGCTTCAAAGTTTCTGGCATGACTTTCAATGTTCCTGCAACTCTTATCTAAATTGTTAAGAGTATCTTTTACGCTTGTACTCGGATTCTCTAAAGGTGCACTTGAACCAAGGTCAAAGTTCAGTATTATGTCGTCTGCTCTAACAGTTGTAAAACTTGTATGTGTATGAGTCTTATCTGCTTTCTTCTCTAACTCATCGTTAACATAAGTTTTATCTGCTTTAAGGTCTAAACATCCTGAAACCCATCCTGTATCGGCTTTAGTTTTTAAAATCTTTGATGTCCGTTCATGGTACCAGTCAACCCTTTCTATAATTTCTTTATCTTTTTCATCCACATATTCCTTATCCGCCTTCTTCACTAACACACTAGCCATAAGTCCCTTATCTACCTTATTTTCAAGGCTAACGTTTAAGTCTGTTATTTCAGATATAGAATGTATATGAGTCTTTTTAGAATATTCGTTTTCAGCTCTTGTCACTTCACTTGACATTTTATTGTCAACATATGTTTTGTCTGCTAGTTCAGGATGAGTATGTTCTTTTGTTGCATAAGCATTGTTAGCTCTTTCTTCTTCTTTTGCTATTGCATCGTCTACATATTCTTTGTCAGCTTTGTTGTCAACATCTGCTTTCAAAAGAAGTTCATTTATAGGTTTCTCGTTTAAAGTTCCTTTTGTTGGATTTATACAGACAGTATTGTTCTTCTTGTCTTGAAATAGAAACTCATCTGTTAAAGGGTTTAATGTCAGTTTTAAGTTTCCTTCTTTCAATGACTCAGATATCTTAGAATAGTTTGAAAAGTTTGTTGTGTTCTTATTTAGAGCTTGCATAATGAGTTGTCGGTTGTGTTGTATTTCTCTCATGGAAGCAATATCTTTCGACATTTTTATTCTAGATAAAATATGCTTCCAATAGAAAAAGAAAATTCAAGAGTTGCTACAACTAAACCATTAGATGAACTTTTTACTAATGTCGGTCAAAAGTTTGAGACAGAGACCGTAAAGCATGAAGGCTATCGTTTTGACTACCCATTAAGATGGCTAAGAGACCCATCTGTCACAAAAGCTATTGGCTTTCGTAGAATGAAGTTCATTTCAGAAGCCATACATGTTTTCCCATTTACGGTCGGTTTTGAAGTTCGATACTATAACAAAGAAAAACGTATGTATGAGAAATTTGAACAGGGAAAACTTTTACAAGTTAGTTTGCTTGTAAACTTAGAAACAACTCTTCAAGCTTTTCAAGAAAAAATAAACGATATCTATATCGAATATGCAAAACAGTATAACATTGACGAAGGAGAATACCATCTCGATATTATTTATGACAGGAAAAATGCAACTGTTAAAATCAATAGAATAGAAGACCTTGGAGAAAACGTTTATATTTCTACAAAATATAACAACTTGGCATGGTATAGATTTATGAGGATGTTAAATCAGCCTGCAGCATATCCAGTACACCCAGACTTTTATGAAGTCGAAAACCCTAATGGAACATATGAAAATGTTTTCGACCAAGATGCTATTATTGTTCATGCTTCATTTTCTGGCGCCCAAAACTCTTTTTTATGCTTGGCAAATGACTTTTACGAAAAACCTACAAAGTTATACGAACCACCAAGTGGAAGTATTTCAGACTTTCAAGTATGGTTTACTACAGATGGAAGAAAAAGAATAATTCCATTATACCATGCGTTTTACTTAGAACTTAGTTTCATATACAACTACTATCGAACGGTAAAAATATAATTTTTTAATACGGTTGAGGTGTTGGATTTGGTTGCCAACTAGACTGTGGTGCAGGTTCAGGCTGTTGTATAACAGGAGCTTGTTCTTCTGGTTCAGGGTCTTTAGGTATAATACCAACGAACTGACCTACTCTTTTACCAATATTTTTGACTCCGTTCCAAATTCCTCTTCCTACGGTTTTTATTCCAGTCCATATACCTCTTCCAACTCTTCTGAAGAAGTTTCCTATCTTACTGAAGAAACCCATTTTACTATATGTAAAAATCTAATGTCCGCCTAGTCTCTTACGTTTCCTGTTGAGTTCCATAGCATTCTTTAACTGGAGCTCATACATTCTGTTTCTCCTCTGGTAGAAAACATATTCTGGGTCAACTCCTGTGTTCGCGTCATCTGCATAAAGTTGTTTATATCCCACTTCAGGGTTTGTATAAAACTCTTTCCATCTCATATTTGCATACCATGGTGGCAAACCTAACGCAGCGTCATTTGACATGGCAGTTTGCATTTGTACATCTGTTGGCACTTGACCATAGTTTGCCATTGCAGTTTGTATTCTAACTTCATTTGGAATATTCTCTGGGTTTGGTTGTCCAGGTTGCTGTGCATTCGCTAAGTTCTGTGCGTCCATTTAATATTAGATAAAAATATCTCTTACGAGTACATATACTGAACATTTGCAGGCATTGGTTCATCTTCATATTCTCTGTACTTTTCTGCCACGTCAAAGAAATAAATGACACAATGGAAAAAACCTAAAACAAGTAGTCCTATTTCAAACCACATTTACTTACTAATAAAATTTCTTTATTGTGACACTTTCTCCAGTTTATAGGACCTCTCTCATATTCTATCTTGTCATATCTAAACTCATAGTCATGTATGTCCTCTAACCATCTCATAACGGTTTCCAAACCACTTTTATCGGATGTAAAGTAAAAGCATGGATGGTTATGTAAAACGTCTAAAGTTTCTAAAGAGTCTCTCAAAGTCCAGTCTACTTGGTATTGAAAATCCCATGTGTTATAGAACGGTGGGTCCACTATAAAGAAAACATTTTCCTTGTCTTTATATTTTTCATACAAATCTGTCCAATGACATCTCACAAACTCTATACCCTCAATATATTTTTCTATGTCCTCTTTGAAAACATTTGTATAGTTAAGATATAAAACTTTTGACATAAGTGTTTCAATGTCATGAACTCTTATAGAACCACTATATAATAGTCTAGCAGATATACTATCCCAGTCTATATATTCTGCTTTTTTCAAAACCTCTCTCACAATATTTTTCTTATCTAATGGTATACGTTCCATCTTACCTATAGGTATCTTTTCTTTCAACTCTTTCAATATATTGTTTGTATCTGGTATATGTTTGAGACGGTTCATATAGTTGTCGAAGTCATTGCATATAATCTTTGAGTCTGGGAATATTATATGGCACAAATGGGATATATAGAAACTTCCACCGAACAAATCTACAAATGTTAGACCATTCGGTAGTTTCTTAAGTTCTCTCAATATAATATCTTTACATCTACTCTTATTTCCAAAGAACGGTAACGGTGGTTTTGTAAAATTCATTTATATATAATAATAAAAATGTTTTTTCCTGAAAAGTGACAGAAAAGTGACAAAACATTTACGAAGAAATCATGAAAATTCAAGAGGGTAGAAAAGAGGTTAGAAAAGAGGTTAGATCTAACCTTCTACCCTAAATTATATTTTTGGGTCCTTTACACTCATTACGAAGAAGAAGTCTTGACAAAACATTTACGATGAAATCATGAAAATTCATGAGGGTGAGAAAACAGGTGAAAAAACGGGTGAGATCTCACCTCTTCACCTAAACATTATTTTTGGGTCCTTTACACTCATTACGATGAAGTCTTGACAAAACATTTACGTTCATGTTTGACAAAACATTTACGAAGAAGTCTTGACAAAACATTTACGAAGAAGAAGTCTTGACAAAACATGTACGTTCATGTTTGACAAAACATGAAAACATATATAATTTGTGAAAAGCTCCTGGAAGACCCGTATATATAAGAACTTCATTGATACTAAAACATCATCAGGGCTAGAAGGCACGAAGTGCCTGGAAGCCCCACTACCTTTTTTTTTTTTTTTTTTTTTTTTTTTTTAGATATATTAAAATTATCGAGTTTTAATTTTTGAGTTTTGAATCTCCCGAATTTCCCATACAAACATATATTAATTTTATAAAATATAGAAATAAAATCAGATTCTACAATGCTTTTTGAAATGTGTCCAGGTGTTTGTATATATATATACACGTTCATTTCTATCGGCGCGCGGAGCGCGCTGATAGAAATGAATGACCACATTTAAAATAGTCGATCGTTTATTTATAATAAATTTAAAAAAAAATTAAAAGAAATTAATTAATACTCGGTTTTCTCATTACTCTCGAATATTCGACGGATTCTGAATCGGTGAATAATCTCAATATTTCGCACTATTTCTAATTTATTCGAGTATGTTGCAATTATATTGAATGAAACGAATTATGGAATATTCGACAAATAAAATTGTTTGATTACATCATTTGATTGATTTCCCATATTAATATAAACAAATACGGATGATCTCCTATCCAATTCATGCCATTTTTCTTAGTTTCTGGCATTTTCAATTCAATTTTCATCAATAAAGCTAGATTCACTAAATTTTTAATCAGCAAATCAAAACTTTCATAACCATATTCTAATACATGTCTGTAAGTTAGTTTCATATTTTAATTATTTTTTAATTTTTTTTTACAATATCTGAGATTAATATCAATGCTAACATACTTTGTACCCATAGTAATATGCAAATATTATCTCATATTCTTCATTTTCATATCAGTTATGAATGAGACGTTTTGAAATAGCTTAATTAATCAACAAACTTATATGGTAAATGTATTTTATTTATACTGTTAACATATAGAAGATATATTTTATGTACGCAAGGCATTATACTCAAAGTTGGAAAGAAACTCATTATGAATTTAAGATAGACATCGAGAACAAACTTAATAAACTATTGTATTATATTCCCTCATATAAGTACTTCTATACTTAATATGAGAAGGTTTTGCGATTTGCCCTTAGTGTGGGAGACCTTCTCGCAGCTTATATATTTTTTATCTGACATTTCAAAGCTAAATAGCTAAATTACTGATGTTATATTTTAAAATTTCACTCTCATATTAGTAAAATACGTTTTGTGAGGACTTTTGTCCACCTTACAGGGCAAGCAGTCTAATTAGCAAAACTTATGCTTGAGCAGCTATGCTCATAAACTAATCTTAGCGTAATATTAGTATTATCCTGTTGTTGCTTGCACAATTTCAAGTAATGTTTGGAATTTTTCGTTCTCTTAAGCAAATCAATCCATTTCTAATCATCTCAATAGCATATTTCACATCAATAATTGCGCCACCCCATTGGTGGTGATCTAAAGGATTTCCAGCATACATAATCATGAAAATATCGCAATGTGTTGCAGCTGCTGCTGCTGAGTTATCAGCACATCTTGTAGAAACAACGACCATTACAGAAAACGGATGCATTAAATAACATTTGAAAATATTGGATCCGGTTGGTGAATACATGAATTTTATAGACGCAAACACCGAAGCAGCTTCAGTGAGATTGTATATATCTGTTTGGTTCTCCCAATTTATGTCAGGAAAAGCTTTCTTTGTCTCATTAAATATTTCATCCATGTTTTTGATATATCTAGGCTTATCGTATTCTCTATTCATAAAGACATATCTCGTAGGCTTGATTCGGTCTAAATTATACTTTTCATGTAAAAATAGCTGTAATCTTTTCGAATGAATTCCGTAAGCATTAATGAAACTAATAGGATTTGCAATAGTAGAGCATATGTCACATGAATAGTAGCAATGCGGTTTTAATCTAATGATCCTTTCTTCTGGAATTTCCATCAATTTCAAAATTATTTCATAGGTTGATGGAAGCCCATTAAAAAGGAAATATACATCTCTTGTATATTCTTTCGGTAGATATTTAACAAAGAATAAAAGGGGCTGAGCTAGATCTTCCAATGTATGACCAAAGTTTCTTTCGCATTCACCGTAACCTATTGCGTAAATATGATGATAATGTCCTGCCACATGATAGTAATTTATATCTCGACGATCTCTCCACAAATCACTTTCGAAATATTTGAAATCTTGAAAAACTAATTGTCCGAAAAAATTTACGTAGCATTTATGAATTTGGACAAAATGATAAACTGGGTTACGCTTAATTATGTTAACAAAATCTGTTTCTTTTTGATTATTTACCATTAAATAGAAATTTGTGTTTAATAAACCTGGATAAGAGCCATTTATCGTAATGTTGGTAAAAATATCAGGATGGTCGCTAACCATTGTAAAATTTGGCCCGACCATTTGAGCAGGAACCCAATGATATATTTGTAGTCGGAAATTATGAATCTGAATAAAAGAAGTGAGCATTATGAATGTAGAACATATAGCAATTAATTCAGTTGGACGTATAAGGTAAAAAATCGATGAAGATCCGAATTTTTTCATGTAGTAAAGTGTGCACTTTCCGCTTTCTGACACACCCTCAATTTTTTTGACAAAGGAGACGCAAAACCTGGATTTGTTACATATCTGATATAATACAATGACCTCTCATACCATGATCATATAAAATATTTAATCGAAAAAAGGAAATATATTTACGTAGCACATTTTTCTGGTTCCTTGAAATTTGTCGGGTCCTGGCGGTTTTTTGTTTCAATTTTTGAAGAATGTGTTTGATTTTGATAAGAGAAAGTCCAGCCAATCGAAAGGTGTTCCTTTGGCATATTTCATATAAGAAATAAATTAAAATGGATTAGAAAAGTTAGATAGGCAAAATGACTATGATTTTTAGAAATTAAGAAAGAAAAACTTATTTCTTAGCCATAAGGGCCTCGATTTCGTCGATTTCCTTTGGAATGTTGATGGAGAGATCGAAGCATCCGTCCTTTGTGATGACGATGTCGTCTTCAATTCTAACTCCTCCGACAGTCTTCTGGAATCTCCTTGCGAGGTCAGCGTTGATGTGCTTTGCTCTCTCTGGATCAGCGAGTGCTCTCTCGTACAGTCCTGGAGCGAAGTAGCAGCCTGGTTCTACAGTCATTACCATTCCTGGCTCAAGGGTTCTTCCCATTCTGAGGTACCTCATGTGTGGTGTCTTCGGACGTGTTGTTCCCTTTGGCCAGCCGCCGATTTCGTGTACATCCAATCCCATTCCGTGGCCGAGGCCGTGTGGATAGAAAGCCTCGAGTGCTCCTGAGTTGACGACCTCGTCGATTGTTCCAATCAACAAGCCGCAGTCTATCAAATCCTTGGCCATTGTCCTGGCAGACAACATGGCGAGTTCTGCCCATGTTTTTCCGGCCTTTGCGGCGTTGATGACTGCCTTTTGCGTATTGAGGACAGCTGTGTAGATGACCTTCTGGTCGTCGGAGAATTTGCCTGATGCGGGGTATGTTCTTGTGTTATCTGCGCAATACATCTCGTATTCGCCGCCAGCGTCGATGAGAACTAAGTCTCCATCTTGGATCTGGCGTGACTTCTTGTGGTAGTGAAGAATGGCGCAAAGTGGGCCGGAGCAAACTGTCATTTGGAATGGAGAAGCGTAGCAACTATGGTTGTAGTAGACGTATTGCATTTCTGCTTCGACTTGGAACTCAAACATGCCTGGTTTGAGGTTCTGAAGAACTCTGCGGTAGGCTAAATTGTTAATTTCGGCTGAGTACTTCATTATCTCGATTTCTCCATCGAGTTTGCACTGGCGGACCTCTTCAAATGTCTCGACGAGGATTGGATCGTCCCAGTTGTAGAATTTAGTGATTCCTGACTCTTTGAGGAATTTTTCTTTTTCTGTGACGAGAAGAACCTCGTCTAATTGATATTTCTCTCGAATATCTGCGAGTGTTGGTTGTGGGCCTGCCCACATTTCGAAGTCTTCTTCCTGTTCTGGATAGAAAAGAACTGTTTTGCCAGTCTTAATGTCGACAAAGACTTCGCATCCTGGAATGTTGACACCAGTGATGTACCAGAAGTTTGAATCTTGGCGGAAGTATGGGTCTTGGTCGCTGCGTGGGCGGTATTGATCAACAAGACCTTTAATCAAAATTGCGCCACCGTCAACCTTTCCACGAAGGTATTCAAGAACCTTCTTCCTCTGCTCAGCGATTGTCTCTGGCTTTGGGAATGGACGATTGATAAGATCAGCTGTTTGAGTCATATTTTTCGAACTCCAGAAAAAAGTGAGATTTTTAATCCCTTTAGAAATTTTTTATTTTCAATAGTTTACGGCGGATTTTCTTTTAAGGATACCCTTACATTGCGTAGTTAGAAAGAGAATATGATATTGTCATGATTGCTAAAGTTTTAGGCTCCAGAAATGAATATACATCAAACTGAAACAATTGATAAATTGAATGAACTTTTGAGAGGTTCTCAAATAAAAAAAATTATCTAATTTTTTACAATATTACTATTATTTTATCCACATATGTATATATAGTAATTTGAGAAAACTTTTAGGAAAAAATAAGTTTAATAAAAATCTGAATTTTACTTGTTGTGGGATTGTTATTAATTGACACTCCAGACGTATTACTAATAGTTATGCGTATGCAATTAAAGTATTTCTGATGGACAAAATGTGAGATTTATATCAGATAATTCATTTCTACTATTAAGTTATTCATTTATGAGTTTGCACTTATTCGCACTAAATAAATAACTATTAAAAATTGTTTTAATTAATTGACACCATATAATAGAGTGAATTTTGTTTGATCAAACAACAATAGATGATAGATATAAAGCCAAGAAACTTGCTATTAATATGCTCTACTTGCTATTTCAATGTAAGTATGATATTTTCTAAATGTTTCGTTCAGATAACTTAGATATATTAGTCAAAATTTGAAATTTTAATAGCACATATATTAAAAATAATTATTATTCATAAAAGATTAATGAAATAGTAAAAAAAATCAATCAAATTATAAAAATACAACATTTAGAAGAATTCTTATTATCCTTCAAAAAGTCAGTATTTCTGCTGTAATTTTCTACAACATTGTAGTTATTGCACTTTGTCTATGGATTTGTATATATGTTATATATAAATTATATATCTAAACTGCCCATAAGTGCAATTTTTATATAAATTGTTTATTTCTTTAACAATTTCATATGAAATATGCTTTTTAAGCGTATCAAAGCTGTGTTCTTAATGTGCATGGATATATCAAGAAAAATGTCGAAAAAAAATGTGAATTCACAAATTCACTGAATTTTCACGTTTTTTGAATTTTGCTACAGCACTAATATTAAATAATACTAAAATCTTCTGTCTTTGTAAAAGAATAAATTCTGACAAAAAGTGCTCGTTTAAATTTAATGATCATCTGTATGACTAAGTGGTAAAAAGTGTTTATGACCAAAAAAGGGTTACATGCTTAGTCTATTTTTCTGACAGGATACTCTAGATTTACATGATCTCTATTTCATATCTCCGTTTTTAGATTCTTCGACAGATTTTATGATAGAAAACCAAGATTAACAAATTTCCGGCATGTTAATGAAGAAATCTGCAGCTACCCTCAATATTATTTCAATAATCAGTATCGTTTCTCTTACAATTTATTTTTTTCTCAATAATTTAACAAGAAATAACAATACACACTTGGTTTTACGTATAAAAGCTAAGTGTCGAACTTAATCAACTTTACTTACTTAGCAAATGAATATTTTTGTGGTTGCGAGTTCTGAATGCTGAAGTTTTAGATTTCTCTATAAATGATATCATTGCACTTACAATGTTGTTCCAGCCTATCGCATAAATCATAGAAAATCCAAAAAAAAAATAATATAAAGAAAATTCATGTCATGAAGTTCAAAAAATACCGTGTAACATTAAAATTTGTTATGCATAATACATTTTAGCTATTATTGATTTTTTTTAATTTTCGAGAAATTGAATGGTGAGTCCGATAGAGAAATTTTTAAAAATCCTAGTGCCTCATAGAAGTAATTTCCCTCGTCTCCCATACTTCCAAATGTATGCATATGACATAAACTTTTATGCATTACACAAATGGCCAATAATATCTATAGAGTAAAAAATTAGAAATTTAATTTTTTTATATGATAGTTATATTTCAGATTTGCGAGCGTAACTTTTTTCTCCATGGCATACTTGTTTTAAGAGCAAATGATCAAAATCGTCCTTCAATTATTGAAGGAGCTGATATCTTTTGAAAATTGAATTGAAAGGGTATTCAATTTTCAAATTTCCTCTCAATTTTGGAAACATATCAACTCTATGAATTAACAATTATGTGCCTTCACAGTTTATCAGTCATATAAGGTGCTTATAAAGAAAAAAGTTACGCTCGCAAAATATGTTTTTATATAGATTTCACATAAAATAATTATGTAATTTCTAAAAAGAATATTTTTGTTCTTGGATATTAAAGTGTATTGTAGTTTAAAAAGTTTTAAATATGTTGCTAAAATTTCAGGTTTATAGCTCATGTCTAGCATGACTTCTTCGTATGCGCAAAAAATCTGACACGTAAGGGTATCCTTAAAAAATTTTATATTGAAAAATGACTGGACGAAAGAAAGTGAAGAAAGTACGCAAAAAAACAACCAAAACTAAGGATACTAAGACCCAGGAAGGTTCTGTTGATCAACTGCCTCCTGTAAAAATGTTAAAAAAAGGAAAAAAGATAATTCGAAAGAAAGCTAGAACGTTAGACTTAAAAACAAATACGAATTCACGTGATGCCCCAACATTATCTGGTGATTTTAGCTCCGAATTCAGAAGATCTAAAGCGCTGACCTTATCATCAGATGATAATTTCACAACAGAAGGAAATTCAATAGAAGGGAAAACTAAAATCAAAAGGAAAATAGCTTTTACAAAGAAAAGTCCATCAAAGAAGTCATTTAAGAAGCTAAAATCTCCGAAAAATTCTAAGTCTCCTAAAAAAACGAAATCTGACATTCAAAATAATGCAAATATCATTAAAATTACGCCGTTTCCTGAAATAGAATACCAAAACTATCAAACACCTTCAAATGAAAATAATGATTTACAAAATATTGTGGAAAATGCCCCGGAAAACTCTCAAATTATAATACCATCTGGGTTTTACCAAGTTGAATTGGTTATAAAGAAGCCAATTAGCTTGATCGCTCAAGGCGAGGTTATTTTACTCGCACCAGGAACAAATCATACTTTAATCGTAAATTCCATAGGTGTTTCAATCAAAGGTTTCAAAATTTGCCAAAAATACTCTGAAATCCATTCCGCAATTTACGTTGAAAATGGATCTTTACGATTAACCGACTGCTTCGTTACATCCGAATACGCTCCTGCAATAGTTCTATCCTCGGAATCTATTTCTCATATATTTAGAACTAGTTTTTCCTCTGTAAAAGCGCCACCAATTTTTGCTTTTGAAAACTCGATGATTTCTGCTGAAGATTGCAAAATAAATGAATCGTCTTCAAGTGGCGTAGTGCTATGCGGCTATTCTACGGCCAAATTTTCTCGGTGTGTAATCACATGTAACCAAAAGAGTGGTTTTCTCTGCAAGGAGAAATCGAATCTGCTATGTGATGGATGTTCTATAACGGGATGCGGCGAAAATGGAATGGAAATCGGTTCAAGCGGAACAATTTTGATAAAATCTAGTAATATTGAGGGGTGTGAAGGGTGTGGAATCATCTCATATTCAAATTCTATTCCATCCATAATGAATATGAGCATTTCCTACTGCAAAGGACCTGCAATTAAAGCATTTGAAAAATCTTCTCTTTATTTATCACAAAACAAGTACATTTCATGCGGTCAACCCTCATTATTATACTTCCAAGATGATGTTCGCGTCAAATCCTCTGACGATTCCTTTATCGGAACCGATGGAGGAATCTATATCCAAGGAAGTTCAGCTCTAAACATATCAAAAGCAACATTTGATTCATTACTATGTGGTATCATCATTGATGGCCCATGTAAAACCGAAATTGACGGTTCAAAATTCCAAAATATTCAGAAAACATCAATTTCAGCCGAAAACAAAACAGAACTTACTATTAAAAACACAGATATCAAAGGAAGTGGTGAAGATGGAATATATACATCCGGAATCAAAAAATTGAACTTAAATAACGTAATTATCGAAAAATCCGGGATCAGCGGCATTGATGCCAACAATTCCACTTCCATTATCCTAAACAAAGTCTCTCTGCTCAATAACAGAAACGCCGGCCTCGTTCTCTCCCAATCAGAAGCCGAAATTTCGGATTCGAAATCCAACGGAAATGGAATTGTCGCTTTCGAAATCAGAGGCTGCAAAGGGAAGTTCCAAAACACTGAGATCAAAGATAACGCGTGCGGCATCATTTGCATCGATAAAGGACAGGCGTCAGTAGATAACTGCTCTCTTTCAGACAACAAACAATCAGCAATTTTGTTGCTGAATAAAAGTGTAACAACTTTACGTCACTCGAAACTGATATCGAATGGTATCATCTGCATGGGAAAGAGCTATGCGAAATTGAGAACAGACACTCTCTCAGGTTGCAGGAGTGCGTTACAAGTTGTTGGAAACAAAACAAAAGGAGATATAGAAAATTGCTGTGTAGAAAAATGCCAATGCGGAATATTAGTATCTGATAACTCGTGTGTTGATATTAATAAAACAACATTTAAGGAGAATATGTGCGCGGCTGAAGCTAGATTGGGAGCAACAATTAATTCAAAGGGATGTACGTATAAAAGAACAAAAGGAGAGAGTTCTTTGGTTGTTTTGTCTAAAAGTAAGCTCTCCTCCAAAAATGAAAGCTTTGAAGAGGCTGGAAAATGCGCAATTTATGCTGACACTTCGGAACAGATGCAGGTAGAGAATATCAATGTCAATAAATGCCAAATAGCAGGTGTAGTTCTTCAGCAATGTAAGAATTCGTCGATTTCATCTTCAAAATTCAATAAAAATGGAAGAGCTGCTGTAATTGTTTCTGGAACTGGATCCCATAGAATTAGTAGTATTTCGGCTAAGGGTCATTCTGATGCTGCGGTCCTTTTGTCAAATGGATCAGATCCAAAGCTTGATAAAATAGAATCAGACTGTAATGTATCTTTAATCATCTAATTGTTTATAAATATTTATGTTGTGAGTTTAATAGTTTACGTTTTTGTAATTGTTTCTGGAAACCCTCCATTAATTTTCCCGCATATATCATCATGTTCGAAAAATTTAGTCGTAAATCGCTTTAAATTTGTTTGGAATATGAGTTTGTTGTGGCAAGTAGTAATATTCCAATAGATATAACTGGAAAATAACCATATGATTTCAGATTACTGATATGTAAAAGTAAGGATAAATTGGATTTTATTTGATATCTGTTATACTTGTCATTAATAGATTATGATCTCAAAACCACCGTCATAAAATAGTAAAAAGTGAAGTTATGAAAAATCTCAAAAAAAATTAAGAAATAAAATAAATTGGAAGTTTTAATATAAAATATTCAAAATTCTCCTTATTGTGAATTTTGAATACTATCCAGACCAATTTATTCTCAATTAGATTGATTTATATATAGTCGCAAATAGTCATAGAACTATTATTCAGATATAAAATTGAGAAAAATTTTGCAGAGAAGTTATTTCAATGAGTACTATCAAATCCTTTTGAAAAATTGATGACAGGTAATCGTCTTTTATAATTCTCAAATATCTACATTTTATATATCTTAATTTTAAAAAGTGTTGTGGTCAATAAAATCCTCTTTTATGCCTCAAATTTTTCTAAAATGTTCACATATTCTCACAATTTTTGATGTTTATCAAATAAAATTGTATCATATATTCCTATAAACTTTGGTCGCACGTTTGAATTTTTGATATAAAATTTTTCCATTGAATTCATTATTTTTTGATTGCTATTATCGAATTCAGTATGTTTCAATGAAACTATGCTTTTCTAGATGATCCCAATTTATTTAAATAATATATTACAATTTTTGAGAACTCAAATTTGTTCAATATTGGTTGTTTTGCATTCGTTTTCTGTTTCATGTATTCGTATCGTAACAGATTCTTTTGAACATAAACTAGATGGTCAAAATTCTATAGATAATCAGATTCTGTTCGTCGTTGTTAGGATATATAAAAAAAATCAAATATTAATGATTATTCTAACTATAGATCGCTACTACTTAAGTGAGGCAATGATTTGTCATGTAAAGTTTCGATTTTTTGAATGATAGATATCAATTCACTTTTCAATGTAAACTATTCAAATGTTTCGAAAATTTTTCTGAAAACGGTTATTTTTTATTTCCAATGATGTTTTTTGGATAAAAAAAATAACGATTGCTATTCCATCCGGGTTACAGTATATGAAGAATACAGTAGTTTATAATTACAGCATTAATACAAGTTAAATAATTAAGCAAAATCATTATCTTCATGAAGCAATGATTTATCATGAAGAGCAACTTTCTTTCTCTTCGAAACGAACATGAAAACGCCGAGGAAGATTGCAAAGAACCCGACAAATGCGCCTCCAGTGTATATGGCTGGCTTATTCTGGTGCTTATCTGGCGTTATTGTTGGTAAAGGCGTCAGAGATGCAGATGGATTTGGTGAAGGTGTCGGCAGAGGCGTTGGAGTTGGTGTCATTACGCCAGGCGGGATGGGGCAGTAATCGTTAAGTGGCAAAATCCACTTTTCCGGTTCAGTATCCCAATACGATAAAATCGAAATTGGCTGAAGCATCGTCAGGCAGTCGTTCATGTCGTGGTGCCAGGACGGTACAACGCCAAGAAGGCACTTTGGGCAATGAGTTCCGTTGTAATGTATGATTATCTCATTTTTCATGTCCGCATCTGCTCTGAAAATGACATTATTCGTCTCCATATCCAACAACGATACACGAGCGCGCTGTGCATAACTTCCATCAAGCCAGTAAGGCATTTGCATCGCAGGAACAATCTCAAAATCTACAATCGCTTGATCCCTATCTCCTTCAGTGGGGACGGTTGACTTAATTACCTGGTAACGTTCTGGTTTCAGCAGAATTAAGTCAAGTTTTGTGTTCTGAATTGTGATATCTGCGTCAGTCCAAACTCCTGACTCCATATCTTCTAGGACTAGCTTCATCTTCGACTTGTCAGTGAAGAAGCACGGTAAGTGTAAGTCAACTGATGTCGCCTGTGTATCAGAAGGAATGGAAATTTGGTCTATTACTGGCCACCTTTGAGCTTTGTCTGGTGTTGCCATGTATATGTTGGCTTTGTTTGTTGCATTCGATGAAACGTTAACTGTGAAGTTTGTAAGGCATAATGTTTCTGTTTCATCTAAAACAATCGTAGCTTTTCTTTCTTTTGAGAGCTCTTGATATGGATTTTCTCCAGATCGTGTTGGAACCTTCACAGTGCTAGGTGTACTTGTCATTCCGAAGACGTCTAATTTAACATTCTTCAGAAGTGACTCGCTTCCGATTGAATCTGATACAATGTGCAACATCCAGCTACCAGCAGCTGATTCTCCGAGGAATCCTCGTATTGTGTATGTCAAAACGATTGAATGTGGAGAATCATCTGAAATCGAAGTCGCTTTGAAGAACATTGTAGTACCGGAAGGTGATGTGAGCTTCATTCTTAATAATGATGCGTCTTTTACGTCGATGTTAACTTGTATCTGGACATATTCGATAAAAATAATTTTTGAGTTTACATCGATTTTGATGTCAAGTGAACCTTTATGCATCGTAGGAACATTCTCATTTGTTTCTACGTAGCCTTGGGAATTGACTTGGTCTGGGATCTTCTTCCATTCCTTGCACATTTGGTGTAGCCAATCAGCAGCTATTGTGCCAAATCCGTAGAAATGTGAGTAATGGTAGCCGGCTTTGTTTGTCACCCAGCTGTGATGGTTAGGATTGTTCTTGGAGGATGTAATTGCAAGCATGTATTGTATATCGCGCCATGTCAAACTTGGATTTGTTTGTACCATTAAAGCTACGACACCTGCTACGTAGGCAGCACCTGCGCCAACAGGATCTGTATCGTCCGTACATCCTTTTTTGTCGGTATGTGATAAGCTAGGACTTGAAGGATACATGATACTATCGAATGATGAACTTCCGCCAACGGGCGCATTAACTAATATTGACGTTCCACGGTTGGACCATGATGAGTGAGCATTTCTGTGTGTGAGGTCTGAGACAACTATAACGCGAGGATCTCGATTTAGAGGGAAGAAGTTCGTATCTCCTCCTCTGAAGGCATCTGCGCCGGCAGGAGCAACAAAGTTTACTCCTGGATCTGCTCTCATGAGTATATCATGTAATTCTTCATCAAATTCTTCGTGGCGACAGACATTTTTGCATTTTTCAACTGTACCGAGTAATTTTACACGAAAGTAACGATTGTCGCGACTTAATGCATCGAGAATATTTGAGCGTGTTTTGTTTTCGTTATCGATATTGAGACAAGAGAATGTTGAATTTGGAGCGACGCCAACAGTGCAAATATTGTTGGATTTGGAAGAAATGATACTGGCAAGTTGGGTACCGCGATATGTTTGATTGTGTTTCGGGTCATTTTCCCAAGAATAGTAATTCCAAGAATGGTTTAAATCGAAGTTATCCTTTAAATCCTCATGTTCATAAAAGCAACCATCTGATATGACTGCTACTGGAACATTTTCTCCTAACTTTAAGGTGTTCCAAAAATTGAAAATTCGAATATCATTCCCAGATATACCATTGAATTGTCCGGTATTTTTGAGGGGAAATTGCTTATTAAAAAGAGGATCTGTCGGAGTCCATGATAAAGAAAAGGAAAATAAAACAAAAAGCATAAATATTATGTAAACTTCTCAATTTAGGCATCGATGAAAAACTCTTTTCTATCTTAGTATTTGTAATCTGATCATCAACATTACAGGTAAATTTTACTTTTGATTTTTGAAATTTGCCGGATTCAGATTTTAATTTGCAATTTCGATTTTAAATGGATAATTCTATGTTTTTATATAATACTAAAAGATATCAAGGGATAAAACTAAATATTAAGATTCCAAAAAAAATTGGATTTGGAAAAATAAGTGAAATAACTATGAAAATTAAGATAAAAAACCAAAATCATAATTTTTTTGAATTTTAAAACAAGACGATTTAGACTTTTTACATAAATTACTCGAATATCTATCTCAAATAAAGGTGGAATTCATAATTATCAATTCTTTTATTCGTAATTATTTCAAATCTGTAAATCTACTGAAAGGATCTCATCACATAGAGAAGTATAATAATTTCATTGTATTTTTCTACTTATTAATTAGTATTTCATTTTTATTTTCTTAAATCTTCATTCTGATAAATATTTCTATAGCTCCTTCCTGGAGCAATTGAAACATTCCTGTAATGATTATATCAAATCGGACTTATTCCCAATTTGCTTTAAATAATACTTTTGTATTTGAAAGAATATAAAATAACAGTTTATTCCTGAGTTTGGGAAGCATCCTTGCCCTTCTTTGGATTGCCGAGAAGAACTTTGTGGATGTGTGGAACAACACCTGCAGAAGCGATTGTGATGTTGGAGAGTAATTGGTTCAATTCTTCATCGTTACGAACGGCAAGCATGATGTGACGTGGAGAGATACGTGTCTTCTTGTTATCACGAGCAGCGTTACCTGCAAGTTCGAGAACTTCGACTGTAAGATATTCGAGAACAGCAGCCATGAAAACTGGAGCACCGGCACCGACACGCTCACCATAACGGCCTTCACGGAGGAATCTGTGAAGACGGCCGACAGGGAACTGAAGACCGGCACGAGATGAACGTGTCTTTGGATGCTGGCGTTCGCCATCAACGGCTGTCTTTGTTGCTGTCTTCTTAACACCTTTCTTAGCTGGCATTATGAAATAATGAACTCATAAAATATACCGCCAAAAAGTAACTGCGTTATTGAAATTATCAAAGGTCCAAAACGGCATTTTCCAAAAATTTGAAAAATGCCATTTTGAACCACTCAATTTTCGTAGGACGATACACTAGCCATGGCGCCGAAAAAGTGATCATTATTTAGAATGTCTTCAAAGAAGCCAGCCTCTAAAACACCAACAGAGTGTTCCGTACCGAAAAGAGGAATAAGGAAAAGTGACAAAAAGTGACACAAAACATTAAATTTGGCGCCAATTTTAAATACTATATATTATGATTTTTTGGTGAAAAAAGTATTGCTGTAAAATAGAGTTTAAAATTAAAAATATATTGATGGTAAAAAGTTTAAAAATAATAATAATAAAAAAAAGATTTTATGATTGGTAATTGGAGGGTGTGAGTACTATAGCATGTAATAGTATCTCACACCCTCCAATTCTTCCTATGGCACCGAAAAATTTTTCTTAAATTTAAATATTATTAAATCTTTTATTTTATTTAACAAACTCTAATTTAAATGTTATTTAAATATTAAATTTATTAATAAAATGCATTTTTATTTATAATTTAAAATTGGCGCCAAATGTCACTTTTCCTTATTCCTCTTTTCGGTATGAGATAAAAACACCAACAGAGAAGAAGCCAGCCGTCGAGGGCGTCGATGCTGCCAACGCTGCCAAGCAGGATAAGAAGCTCCGCCACAAGAAGCGTGCTGAAACATTCTCCTCCTACATCTTCAAAGTTCTTAAGCAGGTCCACCCAGATATCGGTATTTCCAACAAGGCTATGATGGTTATGAACTCCTTCGTTACAGATATCTTCGAACGTATCGCCCAGGAAGGCGCTCGTCTTGTCGATATGAACGAACGTAACACACTCGGTTCCCGCGAAGTTCAGACAGCTGTTCGTCTTGTTCTTCCAGGCGATCTTGCTAAGCATGCCGTCTCAGAAAGTGGCAAGGCTGTCGCTAAGTTCAACGCTGAGTAAAATTTGTTATAGATTATGTCTTTTTATCACAAACATAATTTTTTTTGTTTACTGAGTCATTCCATTTATTGTAGAATGAATTTCTTCTTTTATTATGATAATAATAATAATCAAAGATAACTTTTGCGCTATTTGAAATATGTTATATGAAACATATAATACAATATATTTTTATAATATCTATAAAATCGTTTTTCATCAATATTGGAATTATATAAATATCAAACTATTTCTTCTTAGAAAGAATATCAATAATTTCAACATTATCATTTTCGACAGCGTAATGAAGAGCAGTGAAGCCATCATTATCTTCTGCATTAATATCAATTTCTGGCAGTGAACAGAGATATTTAACAACTTCTACATTATTTATAAGTACAGCATAATGAAGAGGAGTCTTCTTTTGATAGTCAACAACACTTTTATTAATTCCTTTAAGAGAACAAAGGAATTTGATGACATCGACATTTCTGTTAAGTGCGCCATAATGAAGAGGTGTTGATCCAAGCATATCTTGAAGATTGATATTGATTTTTTTAATAGAGCATATATATTTTACAACTTCAACATTGACATTTAATGCTGCATAATGAAGGGGTGATTTACAGTACATTTTATCAGGAGTGACACCAACATCAAGGTGAGAGTATTTACATTTAACAGCTTCAAGACTATTTCGTGTACAAATATCTGAGAAAATACTTAGTTGTTTAACTAATTCAAAGTCATTTCGTTGATGGGCTGCAAAAAGAAGTGTTGAGTCAAAATATTCATATTCACCATCTTCATTTGTTGATACTTTGCTATATCCATTTTTAAATGCAAATTTGATTGTCTCATAATCTCCTTCTTCGCATGCATTAGATAGGATATTATATATTTTATCAAAAGAGTCAGGGGAGATATCACATTGTAATAAGTATTTCTTGTTCTTGCCGTTCTTAACTGTATTGGATTTTAAGTAATTTAATATGCCGTTTATTGATTCATTGTTTGTTATTTTAGAAATAAAGTCTAAAGCTTCAAAAGCAGATTCTTTACTTACAAAACTTTGTAAGTAAACATGTTGAGAAATAGTAGCTACTTCAGTACTACTAAATTTCTTGCTGATAATAGTAAATGCTTGAATAAATTGATTAGTTGAAAATTTGCATAAATCAAAGATTTTACAAAGGTCTGATACTGTCCTTAACTCATAAAAATCTTCATTATTGTACCAATTACTAAAATCTTTTGCATAAGTGCCATAATCAATTGAACTCATCTGAAGTGAGATGAACTAGTCAAAAGTCACAAAATCTTCTTTTGTTGATTTACGAATGCTATCTATATACTAGTAATTTTTCGAATTGGAATATTTAATGAAAAATTCAATTATTGTACAAAATTTTTGGATTATTTTTCTGGTCTTTACTCGACAATGGCAAAAAGGTCCCAAATCATCCAATATCTCTATCAATATTTCTTAACAGATATTCACAATTAGATTTCATATTTCGAAATTCAAATTATTCATAATTCAATGAGGATTCCTTTTTCCAATCATTAAAACAATAATTAGTAAAAAGTGCTTATCATTTTAAACAAAAACAAAGGATTTTTTTAAAGATTTTTTTTTCAATAAATATAATAAACAAAAAAATATATAATAAAAAACAAAAAATGACTGGTTACCAGAATGGACACCAGCCGCCGTAATGCGTTATATACCTTGCAGGGTCAGCTGCAATTCTGATCAGGGAGTCAACGTGTTCTTCAACTGAAAGCTCTGGCTCTCCATCAATGGCTGCGTCCTCGTACAGTGAATCCCTTCCATTGAGCTTGGATATGACTCTGTCTATGATCTGCCTAGAGTTCGCTTTGTTCGAAGAGCTGAAATTTTCTTCGTCCAAAGGTTCGTGGATGAAAATCTCCAACTGAGCGACAATCGGGCTCATGTTGTCTCTCAGCATCCACATGACGTCCTCGCAAGCGCTCCTGAACATTCCTTCAACAGAGCCGTTGTCGAAGGCGCAGACAATCATCCTTGTCAATCTAAACGGCACTTTTTCAGGGAAATTTGGCCGAGTAACCGCTGTTTCGAAAGAGTCTCCGAAATCTATGTGAATCACTCTTCCTGTGTCTCTTTGGACCATTATGTTTGAGGGATGCCTGTCGCCCAAACCAATGATGTATCCAACCATTGACATCAACGCGTTTGTTATTGTGAAATTCCTGTTTCTGCCAAGCCAGGCCGCGGCGTTTGGAGACCTCATCCAGAGGCAATCTCTGACTTCTGTTGCTGGGCAGTACTTCGAGATTTCGTAGAACTGCTCGAGGAGCTGCACTTTGTTGAGGTACTGGTAGACTGAGCCGACTGTTTTGGATATGACCTCCATCTCTGCGCTGAGCTCTATTCCTTTCGTGACTCTCATGTCGCATATCATTTGGTGCAAAGTGTCTGCTCCAGTGACCCAGGAAATCAATCCAGCGGTCGGAGCTAATGGAATGATCGCGTATTGCGCTATCTGGGCAGGAATCTCTCGCTTCTGTCTGCTGTTGTTGAGTAGTGAGTTGATAAGAACAAAGAATTGCATAACACGTTGATCTAACCGTAAATCTTCATTTCCTTTGAGGAGGAACTTCACTTTGTCACCTTTTTCATCAACCATTAATACACATCTTGGGTGTTGTTGTGTGCTTAGAACTTGGAGTGCCGGCTCGATTCTCTTGAGGAGAGGCGCTGGGTGAGTGAATGAATATGTACCTGGGATAACGATCTTGAAGCCAACTTTCATTGCCAAGTTTTCTGATACTTTTGGAAGTAAAACTAAATCAAGCTTTTTCACTCTCTCTGTCAGTTGCTTGAATATGTGTTTGAATATATCCCACATCATCTTTCTAGATTCAGGAGTGTTCTGCACGAAACAAGATTTCGCCTGCTGTATCAACTGATCATGTAGTTTCACAAACCACTTATCGAAATCGCATTTCGGATTTTGGTACTTTACAAACTGTCTCTGTAAAATTGACTCCATTTTCGCTTTGTTGTGTTCGTGGTCAGCTCTACTCGCCAAATCAATTGACATCAGCCACTCTTCGAACCATGAACTTGCAGATCTCAGCAATCCGTCCACGAAGAGCTCTGCGTCTGCGTATTCTTCTTCGTGGTTTTTGGAGATCTTTTGTATCAGAGATTTCGCAATCATCGCTTTTTCTTGGTTTTGGCAGTTTTCGTAGAGTTTCAGGGGATAAAACAGAGCTTGGAAATGTATCTCTCCGAAGTTCTTTAATATCTCATGAACAGCGTTTCTTATGAACTCATCCTTGTGGTTTATTTGGACAGTTATCTGTGGTATTATCTGGTTTATGTCCTGTGGTGGCAAAGACCTCAATTTCTCGAGCAGATCAGAATTAATGAGAGAAGAATTCGTCATTTGGAAGAAGATAGAAAACATCTGACACAAGTATTCCAAAGTTCCTTTCGTTGTCAGCTGCGTTGCCTTCAAGAAACCAGTGACAGCGTTGTACGAGTACTTGTCTTTCTCCTCTGGGTTGATGTTTATCAATCTGGAGTTCGTGTAGGCCCATCCGAGCCATGTTCTGTAATCTGAATTCGACTCTTCCTTCGAAATTTCGAACAAAAGGAGAACTTCTTTCATCGATTCGAAGCTCAAATCATCATTGAATGAGATGTAAGTAGCAAGTAATCTGTTGACATTAGCTCTGAACTGGTTCGTAAGTTTGTTTAGTCTAAATGATTCCTTGCACATGTTTAAAACTTTTGTTGGATATTTTTGGGAAATTGTCAACAATATTTTGTATTGTAACTCATTTGGCAACGATTTGATGACATTCTTGAGGCTGCCTTTGATTGTATCATGTGGTAACAGTGACTTGATCTCCTTGGAAAGATCGGCATCAATTAAATTCAAACTGAAAAATGAATTCAAAATTGATGTCACTTTTGTAATTTTAATTTTTTCAATTGTTTTTAGGAAATTTGTTTCATCTTTCATTTGGAGTATCTCGAAAAGGTATCTCAAGTTATCAATAGCTTCTTGTCTTCTTCCTCTTGCCCACAGTATTTTGGACTGAGCGAATTCCACTTCAGGCAAAATGCTGCCAGAAAAGAACCTGTCGAAATATGTGTCAATCAGTTTCCAACATCTTTCCTTCCTCAGAACTGAAATAAGTTTCAAATAAACAGGAGTGTACTGCTCTTGAAGACTGACCAGTGACCTGACTCTTATCAGCTTGATCCAGCCATCGGAATCCCTCTTGAATCCAGTCAATCGTTTGGACCAAATCGAATCAGCAATTTCTGCAGTGATTTTCTTCGAATTTCGCTTTGTGTCAATCACTTCCTGCAACTCAACAAAGGCATGAGCGTATGCAATGTTCTCGTGGACCCTGTACGCATCACCAGATGAGTAGGCAGCATTGTCTTGAGCTAAATTGATGAGTCCTTTGTTGATTGACTGCTCAGCCAAGTCGAGTTTTTGTGTCCTTGTGTAGAAAACTGCTTGGAAGAAGATTTGGTTCATTGTTAATTCAGGTGGGAAAAAAGTCATGTATTTCTCAGCTCTGTTGAGTTCTCCGACTTGGAAGAAAGCGAGTGCAAAGTGAGCAGCGAACTTCTGCTGGTCATCTCTCGACATGTTCTCGAAAAGAGGTTCGAAACTGATGATGTTCTTCCACTGTTCGAGGTTGGAGTAGACAGTGATCAAGTTAGGATTGTTTTCGTCATCTTTCTTGTAGATTTCCAAGGCGTTGTCCCATTTTCCAAGCATTTCGGACCATTTTCCTGCTGATTCCGCAGCCAATGTCTCTTTCGCGTCAACTAAGAGTCCGCGAGCACTGGAGAGCCTTCCCATCGATGTGTTGAGCTGCATCAATAGGTCTACAATCTGCGGATCCTTCATGTTGTCGCGATACAACCTTTGCGTGAAATATAACTTTAATGGTCTGGAATCGCAGCACTTTGCAATGTTTCTGTCTGAAATTAGCAATGGTTCATTGGCTCTATCAAGGATTTCGGCTATTTTGGAGAAGAATGGGTCGATTTGGGCGCAATGAGTTATGATATGGTTCACAATTGAGGAGAAAGCCTCTCTTTGTGTCTTATCCGCCTTCAGCCAGCATGAAAAGAAGGCAATTGGAAATAGTTGGATCCTGAAATTGTTGTTTAGACTGACAACAACTTTGCAGGCTCTGATTGCAGGGCTTGGAGAGTACTGGATCACTCGTTCGCATAGCTCATCCAGCCATTTGCTGATATTTAAGTCATCTGGGATGTTTAGACCGGTGAAAATATCAGAAATTTCGGTGATTGAAGGAATATCCAAAACAACTTTGGGAGAAACAGGCTTCATTTGAGGGATGAAGTCGCATAATTTCGGATCTATTGTACTTTGACTGCTCAGTAATGACCTCAATACGTTGATATTCTCTAATTTGATTCCGTATGTTATTTGCCAGAACTCTAGCATGGTCAATGGCGTTCCCAAATAGGCCGCTGAGGTATAACATATCTCAATCACGTCGCTTTTGTTCGTTGCGTACTTAAATAATTGAGATATAATCAGAGCAATGCGTGATTGGTACATTGTTAGCTCACAGTTCTGTATAAGTAAGGTCAGAGCATTGCAAACTCGCTTGATAAAGAAAGGTTGGACCTTCTGAGGAAGTAATAATTCAATTGTTTGTATAAATAGCTCGAATGGCTGATTCTGGAAGATAATCACATAGCAGATAAACGTCAGGAGCTCTTTAAGATATAATTCGTCGCTTGCGCTTTCAATCATTTTGAGAGCAGGGAAATATAATTTTTTCGCACTTTCAGTGAAGGTTCCAATGAGGTTGTAGCTCAACGTGATGCACATCTCCATGCAGGCAACGAGATTTATGTAGCTCTTGGCCGTCTCTGCCAGCAGAGGAAGCAAAATTATTGTTTCTCTGGGGCATTGACTCGTAATCCAGTTCAGTTGGGTGAACAGAATATCTCTGGACCTGCTGTCAACTGCATTTTCTATGCCGCTAATGAAAGCCGGGATGATTTTTACTGCAAATGAAGCAGAAACAGGCGTGGAATCGAAAATCATGGCCACAGCTTCGAAAACTGGCATTGATGGCTGGTCGAAACAAGGAACGAGATGGGAAAGAGTGAAATTAGTGAAATATCCAGGATGTTTCATATTTAACGAAGAATTTGTCTGGGAATTCTCTTCTAAGTGGTCATTTGGAAGGTTACTGATATCACATGCTGTTCCAAGCAATTTAAGAATGGCAATTGATACTTTTTTACCTTTTCTGGCAGATAATAACTTCATCAAAGCAGTTATGATCTGCGGACAGTAAAGTCTGATGTTTAATCCAGTTGATATGCTCGATGCAAGTTTGGCTAGTGAGTTAATGGCCTTCTCAAGGAGTTCTGAAGATTGCCTCGAAATGAAAATATGATGGAAAGCCAAAAGAACACGCTGCATGTACGGCTCAACTAATTGACCAAGGATTGCAAGGGTATCTAGAAGGTACGCGTCACGTAAATCAAAGTATTTTGAATTAATTATAGTATAAACTCGATATCTCTTAGGTTCCGACTTCTTAAACTTTTCTAAATCAGCTGTTATATTTTGTGGATCCCTAAAATCATCACTTTGTACAGTTTGAATATCATCTGTTTTTGAATCATGGCAAAGGAAGCCCAAACATAGGGAAATTATGCTTGGAACAAGCGAAATTAAATTATTTGACATCTTTTCCGCTACAATTGGAAGTAATGAGGCGTATTGACTCGATAACCTTACATCTGATATAGATTTCATCGCAGTGATGACGAACCTGACGTAATCTATTAATGTTGGATTAATGTCAAAAGGATTAAACTCAGACAAACCGGAAACTAATTTCAGAGCTTCTCTTCTCACGTTAAACGATGGATCGTTCAAAGAAAGAAGTATATTTTTGTAGAAAGACAATTCCTCAGTTGGTTCAAGCGCTTTTATCGAAGAAAATCTTACTTCTTCGCAAGGATCGTATAATGCGAAATTTAAAATTATTGAAAGGGAGTCAGAAGTTTGTATAGTTGCGAATGCTTTAAGTAGTTCTATTTTTATTGATTCCTGAGTGCATTCCATCAAAGGCTGAATATCTGACAGTAATTTTGATTTTTTTTCAAGTAAATTAAGAGGAAATGCTTGTATAAGTTTGAGTGACATGATGATTGACGATTCCGGCGCTTTTGGCGACAAACCTTTTTTTAATATCGAAATTAAGTAAGGACGGATTTGGTTGAGGAGTGACATCTTCATTTTTATGCACTTGATGAAGTTGTCGCATGGGTAGACGTCTTTCAGCGCTTCTGGCCGTATTTTTGCATCAGGGAAAATTTCAAAAATTGTTGAGAGAATAAACAAGCCATTTGGGGTTAATTTTTTGAGATTTGGCATCATGAGAGTTCTGTACACGAAGTCAACAAGGTAAGGAACCAATTTGTGAGGCCGGAAAAATCTGATATAAATATCTAAAATTTTGAAGAAAGGAGTCATCTGATTACTCTTCAGACATTTTGTACATAACGCGGAGAATAGATTTGTTATATGATTATCAGTATAATGAAGAATATTAGTTTTTGCAATTTCTAAAGCTGCGTAAAGAGCTTCGAGTGAAAGATCATCACAGCTGTTCGATGCTAAGTCAATTAACGCCTTTACAAAGACTTTGTAGTTCTGTAAAAAGAAGTGAGGATATAATGGTATAATTGCACGAATGATCCTTAGCGGACCCTGCGTTTGAGGTGTTTTGTTTTGTAGTATATAATTCATGCATGTAGAATAAGGAGTTAACACGAATTTTTGAGTTGTTTGTGAATCCAAAGCCTGAATTTGATACGAAATCACTTGTGCTGCCAAAATTCGTATTGATGGATCCTCACTGATTGCATACTGGAATATAGTTTTGAATTTCTTTATAACTGTGTTGATTACGTAACTAATATTAAATTTTCTAGTGCGTTTTAAGACTTCGAGTGCGTTTATTGCAAGCTTGGGTTTTGTCTCCAACCATTCGAAGACGTTGGATATTGTATCTCTGAACAATAATCCGCTGTCTGTTAATTCTATCGCAATCCAGTAAAGAGTCTTCGAAGCTGCATTGGCAACATCCATGACCTTACTGGAAAGTAAATTCGTGGCGTAATTCATCAATCGCTTAATATGATCATAATTATCTTGAAAATGGCTTAAAATCGAAAAAGCCATCAGTAGATTCATTTGTATCCTTTGTTTATCCGTGTTAGACGCATTATGAATGGATTTCTCCCAAGAAGCGAATGTTGAAATTAATTCATTTTCAGAAAGATTAAAAATCAATGGACCTATCGAATTAATGATATTTTTCCTTCTAGTCTTCCATGTATTGTAGTCCAGATTTTGATCTGAATCGACTATAGCAAAAATATCACTAATTTGGTTCATAAGCATTGAAAAAGGTGACATTTTCATATTTTTGACACTTCATTTCCAGAGAAATTCAATTTGCAGCAGAAAATATTGCCGTTCAATAGATATGCTCATCATTAGCTTTTCGTTGAATATAAAATTTTTTTTCTTCAATTTTTGCCACGACGTTACAAATTTCCTACAGTTTTCCTCCATCAAATGAATGTTAAATGTCGGTTTTTGACTAGGTTGATGCATACTTTTTATTTTATCTTTACTTTTTTATGGATGAATTCGTCATCCTTGGAAAACGATGCGAGCAAAATTGATAAAAGCGAACAAGAAACTGCATTAGAAAGCCATGGTGAACCCAAGTTAGATATTAATTCAAATACAACTAATCTTCCTGAAGATACGAAATGGGAAAAGATCCGATTTTTAGGATGCTGCCCTTTGGCAAGATTAATTCCTACATATAGAACATATTGCAGATACTGGGAAATAGATTGTTTGATGCCTCCATTTGTTACACTAATAATTTTGTTTAATGTTTTAGTTTACTCATTAATAGTATTACCCAAACTATCTCTTACTGGATTAATATCTTCTTGCGTTTTTGTGTATATATTTTTCATACTATTTATGATTTCATATTTTATGGCAATGTGTATGGATCCTGGATATTTGCCATATGATTGGATTGTAAGACAGAAGACTAAATATACACCAGATGAGCTTTATCCTGGAATAGCTTTGAGAAAGGAGCAATTTAATTTTGCTGAAAATAATAGATGTCCATACGCTTCTTTTTCAAAATCATCAGGCTTATTTGTTGTTAGAGGAGACCATATATGCGGTTGGGTCACAAATTGGATTGGAAAAAGGAATCACAAACAATTTATACTGATGCTTTTGTATGGATCACTTTATTGTCTTTCCAGTTTCATAACAATGTTTTTTGTTCCAAATTTCTTTCATTTAAAGAAGTCCAATTTAATTCCTCTAATCATTAGTTCAATTTTAAATTACCTACATTTTGTGCAACATTATCATTTACAGCCAATGGTGAAACACAAATATCAGTTTATAAAAAAGTTGAAGTTGAGAAAAAGCCAACTATAGATACGTTACGAGAGATATGCGGAGAAAAGCCATTAATATGCTGGGTATGCCCATCGCCTGCATTCCCAGACGATTTAACCAATTTTGTTTGAAATTTTTATTTATTTTAGAATAAAAATGATTGTTTTTGGGAGTTTTTAAATAACACAAAACTATATGTAATATATTTTTAATTTAAACAAACAAATGGATAATTAATTAAAATAATTTTTCCAATTCCAATCTATGCAGTTTCATCTGATTTAGTTGATAAGAATTCCTTTGATAGATTTTACTTTTTCTTTGAAGATTTCTTACTTTTTTCTTCCTTTGTCGTCGAAGTGTCACTGGACGAATAATAGCTGTAGTAATTGTAAGAGTAGCTGTAGTATTCACTATCACTTTCTTCTTTCTTCGCTTTTTCTTTGTTTTTAGGGGAGTCTTTTGGATTTCCTTTTGAATTTGGCGAAGAAGATTCTTTTTGTTCAGTGGATTTAGGTTCTTCTTTTGCTTTCTTCTTATCTTTACCATCAGATGAATTATTGCTACTTGATTCCTTTCTTTTCTGAGATTTCTTCTTTGTCACCTTGTTCTCAATCAATGAGGAAGCTGAGTTATATGAATGATCATTGTCTGAAACATAAGAATTAGATGAATTTTTGGTTTCATCAGGTAAAGCACCATTTGATAACTTCGATGGCTCAGTGTCTGGTTTTGACTCAAATTCAGTCGGACTTGGAAGAATTCTGATTGCAACAGAAGAGGAGTCACTTACCTCTGATTTAGAGGGTCTAATTGATGATTGAGCAGGTAATGAAGGCTCTGATTCGCTCTTTTCGATCTTTTTAGAGGATTTTTTCACGTCTAAGTCAACTTTTTGGAATTTTTGGTGCAGCGTCTCTTTTTTAGATGAATCGTGTTCACTGGTGTCCAAAGACTTCAACTTGTCATATGAACTCCATTCAGAAATTTGAGATGACGGTGAAATTTCGAAATTAGCCTCAGGATGAGCCTTTAAATAAGCGATCTTCTCTGCCCTGAGTTCGTCAGGAGGAATAACCTCTGCAACAGATGAATCTGAGTCACTCCAGTTAAAAGAGTGATTTTGAGGGAATTGGACAGACATAATCTGCTTTCTGTTGGCTACATTTGGAGCAGGCTTTGTCTTCTTAGGAGGATTTCGATCTTCTGAGTCGGATTCGCTGTTTCCATTTTTCTCTTTTTTCAATTTAACTGGAGGATGAGGAATAACCAATGTCTTTGGTCTGGACATCTTTGAAGAAGGTATTTGCACGGCCACAGATGTATCAGAGTATTCAGAAGTTTCTTTTTTATTGTTTGTCTTTTGAATCTGAGAAGGAGGGATTTGTTCAGCAACAGATGTATCCGAATCACTTGTGAAACTATTCTTATTGTTTATATTGATTGGAGATTTCGCATAATATGTTGTTTGCGGTCTTTTCATTTTTGATGCAGGAATTTGAATGGCAACAGAGTCAGAATCGCTCGAATCAACAATATTACTCTTTGCAGGAGCACGAGATTGCGCCGTTTGAGGCTTTTTCTCAGTAAATGAAGTATCAGAATCACTTATAATGACTTTTTTGTTGCTAATTGAAACAGGAGCCTTCTCAAATGTTGTTGTTTTCGGTCTTTTCATTTTTGATGCAGGAATTTGAATGGCAACAGAGTCAGAATCGCTCGAATCAACAATATTACTCTTTGTAGGAGCACGAGATTGCGCCGTTTGAGGCTTTTTCTCAGTAAATGAAGTATCAGAATCACTTATAATGACTTTTTTGTTGCTAATTGAAACAGGAGCCTTCTCAAATGTTGTTGTTTTCGGTCTTTGCATTTTTGATGGAGGAATTTGTTCAGCAACTGAAGTATCCGAGTCACTATCGTTGTATTTTCCGTATTTGCTAAGAATTGGAGGTTGACTGAACACTGTTGTCTTCGGCCTTTGCATCTTTGATGCTGGAATCTGTTCTGCTACTGATGTATCTAAATCAGATAAATCGCTCTTGTTTAAATCAGCATTCGTTGGCTTTTCTCCTATCAGCGACCTAGACCTTTGAGTTATGGATGGAGGATTCTGCTCAGCAACAGAAGTATCTAGATCACTGTCCTCATTCTTCGAAATTTTGATGGAAGATGGAGTTTTATCAAGGTAAACAGTATTAGGCCGTTGCATTTTTGATGGAGGAATGAAAACAGCGACAGATGTATCAGAATCGCTCATATCGACTTTTGAATTTAGCGATTGAGTTGGCTTATTAGCAAACTTCGTCTTTTTAGAGTCTTGATTTTGATATTTTTCTCTGGAAGCCGCCGCTAAAGAAATTTGATTTTTAGATTCTTCTGGTTTTGGTGATGGAGTATCGAGATCACTGGCTTTGGATTTAGTATCAGGTGAACAAAGTGAATCTCGCATTGCATTAAGAGGTTCAGAATCACTTATATCAAATTTTTGATTTTTCTTTGAGAGTTTAATCAATTCACTACTGCTATTTTCTCTAATACGAGCGTTTTTGGGAGAAGGTGGTATGACTTCAGCAACAGAAGACTCAGAATCACTAAAATCATAACTAAAATTACGAAGTCTTGAATATTGGATTTGACTTTTAGAAATTTCTCCAATTTGTGGTGAAGATTGTATTCTCAGAGGCTTTTCACGTCGACTTTTATTTTGTTTTGAATTCGAATCTAAATAATTAATTGAAGATGATGCATCATCTGTTGACTTTCTATCGTTGCATTTCTTGGAAGTTTGAGATTCATCAGCTTTTTCCTCTTTATATTTGACTTTTGATATTGCGGGAGGAGAATGGGATCTATTATTTTTGGAATGAGATTTATGGGCTGATACATTGGTTTTTGTTCCATGAGTAGGCTGGTCAGAGTCAGAGCTAGGTGTATTATTTTTTTCTATTTTTTCAGCTTTTTTGGTTGAACTTTTATCATTATTTGGTTCAGATGCGGTTAATGGAAGCCCTTTTCTTTGTCCAGATTTCCCTTTCATATCATTTGAAAGTGCTTCCTGTTGCATAGATTTTACAGAGTCCCTTTAAAAACCTGACTCGGACCCTATAAATTTTATTTCAATTCAAATTTCAATAAAATTTAAGATCGTCTATTGACCGCTTCACTACGAATAGGATTTAGATTTTATGCAGAAAAGTGGTAGTAGAAATTTTATTTGTGTAAAAATTTCAAATTCAGAGACAGAGATTTGTTTCCATTGTTGAATATGCTAATACTCAAATCTCTAGCTACTAACGTGTATGACAACTTATGATATGCAGCCAATATATTAAAATTCTATAATTGATATTAATCGGAATAGTTTATATTTATATGGCACTACGATAAATTTAAAATAATCGAATACACAACTTCAAATTAATTATTACCGTGCAATGCGTTTTTAACTATAAAGGAAATAATTTCTAAAAGATATTTAAAGATTTGCAAATCATGATTTAGAGAGAGGTAATCTTCCTATTTCCTTGCATCAATGATTGTTATGTGTCTTCTTAAGTCCTTTTCCCATCTGAAATCGAATATGACTCATTTGGCCGAATAAAATCTTGTGACGTTGGATTTTCATTGAATTGTTGTTCCCCCTTTTCAAATATTAAAAATATGTCTAGCGATCCTAGGTCCATTGTAATGATTATAGATAACTCTAGTACTTCGATAAACGGAGATTTTTTTCCAACTAGAATAGAAGCTCAAAGGAAAGCTGTGAATCAACTTGCAACATATATTTTTTCCTTAAATTCTAATTCTCAAGTGGCTGTTTATACGGCAGGATCAAAGGAATTCGGAATAAGAGTTTCCCTTGTTTCTTCATCATCGAAAATTTTACCAGTTATTTCTCAAATTTCATGCGGCGGCAATCTCAGATTAGAAACATCCATTAAACAAGCGCTTATAGCATTTCATTTCATTGAGCATAAATGTTCCAAAAGTATTTTATGCTTTGTCGGAGGTCCTAATGATATTAACGAAAATAATTCACAAATCATCGCTCAAAAGTGTAAAAAAGAATCAGCAGATTTACATATTCTTACATTCGGAAATAATGTTCCGAACGTCCCGCTTTTAGAAAAATTAGCTAAATCAGTTTCTCCAAAATCAATATTTATTAATTTGCCAATCGATTCTGGCGATCCATTAGTTATTAGCGACGCAATACTTAAATCGGACCTCGGTCCCGGTGAAAAAAATGCACGATTAGAACTAAAGGCCATTTCCAATGTAGATCCTGCTTTAACTCAAGAACTAATGCTAGCTTTGCAATCTCATCAGGCTGGAAAGGAAATGGAAGAAATGAACTTGAAAAAGAGAAGAAAGGCAAAGAAAAAATGAAATGTTGTTTTATAAATCGTATTTGTTTGTGTGTATTGTTATTAAAATAAGCAATTTTTTTGCTATTTGTTTATATTTTTTACCAAAATCATGAAAAACTATAGTTTAAGCATATAAATAATAATTTATTACAAACAGAGAAAGATATTATATATTAGAAACAAGCAATGGCTCGTCATTTTGTTGTATCTCAAAATCAGTTGCAGTGTAAAGGAGTTTCTGCAAGATAGGTGGAATGAGTAAGATTTCTTCATGCTCATTCCAGTCTCTTAATGGAGCATCTACAAATTTCATTGGATCCAAGAATTTTCTTTCGCAATCTTGATAAGCATATTTATCATCAAAGAACATCTTGAATACTTTTAATGAAGTATTGTAAGGAATCGATAAGAAAATCAAAGCAGTCAAAAAGCCATGATCTAAAATAAAATAAATCAAGGAAGAAATCCAGTCCGAAACATGCACAAAGTAAAACACAACAATAGAAGACATTTTGAATATCATGAAAAGCATGACTAGAATGAGAAAAGCATACGAACGGATTATTTTTTTGGAAACTATTGTTGATGATGGTTTATATCCTAGGGTTTCGATCAAAAATTCATATGACATAAGCTTTATCTCGTTTGAATGTAATTGTTGTATAATCAACCAAAAAACTAAGTAAAGAGCGAGAAATTGGATGAAAAATGGAAGTACAATGAACTCGTTAACACCATAGAATTGTCTATAGTACACAAATGAGTGCGTAAAAGGTGAGAGAAGTATAACAAAAACTAATCTCCAAACATTATAATAATTTGTGTCAATACTCCAGCCAGCTGCAATCATAAATGTTGATACATTCAGGTTGGTAATAAACAGCGCTGATAAAGTTAAGTTGATTGCTTTGAATAATATGGGAGCAAATCCAAATTTATCAAGATATACTTTAATTGCTGTATCAACGCATAAGTTAAGGAAAGATAGAACACATGTAGATATCAATATTATATGAATCTTCAATTTAACGTTATGATTACAATTAATTGCAAAAATAATGATACCAAATAGCAAAACAGTGACACACCCATATACAAAAGCAAAAATATAACAATGCCCAAATGATGTGTCGAGAAATGTTTTAATATTATAAAATTCTGCGTAGACGTAGGTATCAATATTATTTGTCTGACATGCCACTACTATAGGAGCATATGTTCCTGCTTCCGAAATCGTTTTCGTCCATGTTTTTTCGTTGGAATTATTAATTACTTGACTATATAGCGTTAATGTATTTGAAGAAATTGTGCACAAACTTTTGTAATCAAAGGAAAAATTCCAATTTGCGGCATATTTCGTGTGATTCATGAGACCTACAAAAAATGAATTTGTGGAATGGTTAAGAAGAGTAATATTAAAAGAAGCTCCACTTACAGCGCCAAAAGGAGGCATAACTGAAACTGAATCAGGCTCATTTAAGTGGAATGTTTTCTTGTAGGTCATAAAAAGAAGAAAATGCATTGAAAAATTTTTTTCTAATTTAGGGGAATTAAGGGTGCACTTACCACTTTCTGACATCCTCTCAATTATTTTGACATTCTAGTTTTTTATTCAAATTTTCTAAGGTAAAAAGTCATTAACTTTGTTCGGGGAGAAGCTATTTTAAATCAATACTTAGTACCTTATATTTATGTTATACTTTTTTGCAATCACAATAACGATATATTGATACTGTGAGAGCATGTCAAAAAGTGGTAAGTGCACCCTTAAAGACACAACCCCTATATTAACAATTCATAATGATCTCACAAGAACGTAATCAAACTTTAACAGTTAGAGCAGTTACGTCAAAAAATATATACATAATCAGACATTTAATTACAAGTAGCAGTATATGATTCGATTGCTCAAATTTTTTATTTGAATTGAAGTAAACCAGGTATATGCTTTAAATATATCATTAAAATCTGATGTATATTACAAATGCAGATTGTGGAAGATTATTGTACATGACTATTATTAGAAATCATTAAAATTATGAATATAAATAATTTTGCCAATGGAAAACAAAAAGTAATTCTGTATGTTTTGAGTAGCAACCTAATATATACTAGATAGGCTCTCTAATATAGTTAATTAATTTTAAATTTAATCAATATTTGATTCAATATCGATTAAAATTATTAATGTTATAATGATTCCATTGTTTTATTACATTGATTTCGGTTAATATACTAATGTGTCGGAAGATAAATTATAGAAATTACGAAATTACATAAAAAGGAAGTACTTCCAAATAAAACAAATTGCCAAATGTATGCATCATTTCGTTATTATTAACTGCATTCTTTTTAAAATGAATAATACTCCCAAAATGATATGAAAATCACCAAAATTTATTTTGTGTGGAAATATTTGAAAAATATGTATCGAGATTTATTTGCGTGAATAGAAGTATTTAAAACTTGATAAAAAAGTTTACAAAATCTTGGGAGCGGTTAGGAAAAAATTGAGAATAAAAATCGGATAAATACAATGAGCTGATTGCGTTCAATCATATTTCGAAGCATAAATTTGAGGAATTTGACAAAATTGTAGAAAATTTTTTATGCGATAATCGTTTTTTTATTCAAAAATATATATTTGATGGGTTGCTTCAATAGTTGTTGCAAACCTCATTCTAATGCTTTGTTATTTCTTGGTCTATGCGATTCAGGCAAGACTACAATTGCATCATATATAGAACATAGCGCATTTCGCGTTTCACATCCAACATTAGGCGTGCAAATTACGAATGCCGTGTACCAAGACCAACGCGTAGAGATTTGGGATGTATCAGGCAGAGATGTAGCATATTGGTCAAGATATTATTCTATAGCTTCGGGCATAATTTTTGTTATTGATGGTTTAAATCTCAATGATTTAGATTTGATTCTCCAGTATATGACTCAATCCTTAGCAAGGCCAGATGTTCGACACTTACCAATTCTTATTTATTGCAACAAAATTTGGGACTCTGATCCTAATAACGTAAAACATATAATAGAAGCGAAATTAGAATTAAATAATCGCGGCCTAAACTATCAGATTCAACCTTGCGATCCAAAAATCGGAAAAGGAGTTTTAGAAGGTTTTTATTGGCTCATGGGACAAATTCCACACCCATGAACTCTGTTTTTGTTTTGTTGTTAAATGTATTTGTTTTTACGCTCAAATTTTTATCGATACTATTCATCTTGTCAAATCAAATTTATTCAGATTCTTCCAACATAGTCAAAACACTTCTGTCAAATTATCACCGAGAAATATTTCTATTTCTGCTCAAATTGTCCCTTTGCTATCAATAATCTTTTTACATAACAAAAATACTCTCATAATACAGAAGGTATTTAGTATTTTACTGTTCACTTAATTACCATTTGTTCAAAAAAATCCGAGCTTGGATCGCTTGAGAGCATTTTCTTCTCATGAGAGTATTGAAAAGTGACATACTTAAAGAAAATTATTGAGTAACGAAATCAAACACATAAAGAGCTTACTCAGGTATGTTGCAGTTGCATTAAATGGTGTATAGTTTGGCAAAAAGAAAATAACAATTTATAAAACAATGAAATTAAACTCTAATTCATAATTTTCGTGTGCAAAATCTCAATTTTTTTGAGAGTAAGAACGCGAGCAAAATGAAATTGAGTTTGACAAAATCAACTATATAATGATTCAGATTAAATATTTGGAGGCAACTGTGCTCTGCACATTGGACAAACGAGCTTTTCTTCCATCCATCTGGACAGACACTCCTTATGGAACGAGTGCTGGCAAGGAGTTGTCATTGTTTCATCTCCTTCATGAATTTCAGTCATGCAAATGGAGCATTCTGTTCCTGGCTCTACGTGAACACTGGTGTAATCGAATATCTTAGGTCTTGAGCTCTTAGGAAGGAAGAACGCGCCACCAAACTTATTCTGAAGTAAAACAATCACAGCTTGTAAAACTGAATATATCGTAAAAGTGACACAAATTGGAAGTGAAGTTCCTCCATTTATATTACTTGGATATAAAGTGAAGTACCAAAGTGGGATGAGCCTTCCAATTGTAGATAGAATAACGAACCACTTGTCCTTCTTCTTCGAGGATATATGTTTGGCCGAATAATAGATCTGAGGTATGAAATATGAATAAATGTAAGGTAAAGTAACCATTGGGAAGTGGAATGCAAGTGAAACTGCAAAGGCAGAGACTGACATAAGAACTGTGACTTGTGTAAAGAACTTAATATGAACTGTCTCCCAGCCATTCTCGAATGTTCCATTGGATTTAAGCAAAAGAGCCATCATTCTCATCTGGAATGTGAAGTAAACAATGATTAAACATATAAATGTAACTAAACATTCTGATAAGAAGTCGTAATTCGCTAATCCAATTTCTAAAACTAGTAAAGAGTAGCCAAAATCACAGCCGACATTAAGAATTATGGATGGCATAGATAGTTGAAGCAAGTTAACATCTGTAACAAAGTTTCTGGTCAATGAGTACCACGCGTAGGAAATAAAAACTGCAGAAATGCCAGCGACGACACCAAAGATCCTGCCTTCGATAGCATACTTCATAATGTTGAATCTACTTCCAACAAACGATATTGTTATATTTGGATTTTCGCTGATTATATGTCCGACTACAGATTGATTGATTGCGAATTCGTGGGTTTGGTTTGTTTCTTGTATGAAGTCTAGAACAAAGAATCTGGAATGATAGTAATCTGGTAAAGATTCATATGTTTTATCGATATTAATTTTTAATTGTGTGACATTTAATGGGCGTGTCATGTTATATTTAACTATGGTATTGTTTATTTCGTTCACATATGTTTCAAGAGAAACAGGAAGTGGAAAATCCATGTGAAATAGGAAATTTGACTCATTTTCGAAATTAAATAAAACATAAGTATGGTTTGATCCGATAAATTTTACTTCTGTTGAATTGTAAAATGCTGCATATGCTTGTGTGACGTTGAAATTATTGACTATTTGAGGTTGATCAAAAATCATTTTGAATCTACCAGTGGAATTAATGGTACGGTTGTATCTGCTGACACCTGTTGCAGTCCAATTACCGGGATAAAATGTCAAATTCTCATAAATGAAGCATACCGATGTAAATAGAAACATTTTTAGCGATACTTTGAAATTGATGAGGGGGGCACAAACTTGCCCAGTGAGGTGAAGTGAAAAGTGACATGTTTACATGCCAGAAATGTAAAGTGTCAGATTTGAAACAAAAAATGGATTAATTTATTATTATATGATAGAGAGATTTGGTAAGTTACTATCAAATTTGTAAGTAAGGGAAAAAAAGTAAGAAAGAAAAAAAATTTTTAAAAATAAAAAGCCACTCGCTTCGCTCGCGGTTGACAAAAAGAACAAATTCGAAAAATAATTGTATGAAATTACGAAACTAAGCCACTCGCTTCGCTCGCGGCTGACGAAAAGAACAGATTCGAAAAAAGATTGTACGAAATTACGAAACTAAGCCGCTCGCTTCGCTCGCGGCTGACGAAAAGAACAGATTCGAAAAAAGATTGTACGAAACTAAGCCCCTCGCTTCGCTCGCGGTTTAAGTAAACAACATATTTCAGATTATCGATACTAAAAATTTTTTTATTTTATTACATTTTTTTTGCTTTTTTTTTAAAGCTTCTTAACTTAAATCATGGAATGTCTCAAAGACAAAAGTAGCATACAGCATGTAAAGCTAAAGAAAGATAATCATAATTAATACCTTAATTTTTAATATTACGCATTTTTAGGTGCAAAATTTAAAAACATTCTAATACAATAGAGCAGTTTCCAAAAGTAGCATACAGCATGTAAAGCTAAAGAAAGATAATCATAATTAATACCTTAATTTTTAATATTACGCATTTTAGGTGCAAAATTTAAAAACATTCTAATACAATAGAGCAGTTTCCAAAAGTAGCATACAGCATGCAAAGCTAAAGAAAGATAATCATAATTAATACCTTTAAAGTTTAAAATCTTGATTTTTTTAAAATCAAATATTTATAACTTTAATACATACAGCTTAAACCTTATACTTGTTTTCTCTTGTGAGAAAGCAATCTTACAAAGCTAACAATCCTAAAAAATAAAGAATTAAAATTTAATAATTTAATCTAACAAAATTTCTCTCTTTATCCTTTTGCACTCTTTATATGCAACTCAAATCCATCATATAATATTCCTATAATACTCTTGCCTCAAACAATGACGAACAAACTGCTATTCTCATTTAATTACAGACCAAATCTATTCAAATTTCTGAATTTTTAATTTTCATTCCAATTTCAAATGGAATTAGAAGAAGAAACTATCTTTACTGTTATGGATCTTTGTAAATTTGGAGTTAAACAAGAAATACAAGCACAGTATGGATATGGTGAACGTGTCAGAAAAGAAAGATCTCAGATTTCATTCCACTGCAAATATCCAAAATGTCCTGCACATTTTAATGTTGCAATCTTGGATCAAAATAAATACAAACTAATCAAAATAGTTGAAGAACATGATCATTCCGCCCCAAATGACAAAAGTCAATATTCGTCTGTCTTTTATCGCAAATATTTAGAACATTACTTCCAAACAGATGACAATCAAAGAGCGATAGCACAGCCAAATGCATTCAAAGATCTTGAAATTCCTCTTACAGGTCCGTCCATTCCAGAGATGTACGCTCAAAAACCACGTGCAATCAAACGATTTGCAGAGAGAATACATGCTCTTCAAACTAGATATTCTCCTGACGATGTTGTGTCATTGCAAATCTTTGTTCAGACAGTACAAGAAGAATCTCCAGATGATCTCATTGCATTTGAAGTCTCAGACAATAATATGTGTTTCTATTACGCGCCTTTTGAAGGCAAAGCTTATGTGCATAGTATCAAGACATTTCATATAGACAGCACCTATAAATTGTTGCGATCAAACATTCCATTGTATGCATTTACTGGCAAAATCAAAGATTTTCACATTTTCCCTTTTTTATATTTCTTTTGTCAACCAGACACTTATCAAAACATTCAAGTTTGCGTGTGCGCCTATCTCAGATGGGTAACAATTGAGCCAGAATACATTAGCATGGACTGTGCTCCACAGATAGCTCAAGCAATAGAAGAAAGCATTCCACAAGCTCAAATACTTTGGTGCGGAGTACATGTTCTTCGTGCAATTCTTCGCAAATCAAATAAGTTTTCTTCTCAAGAAAAATTTGAACAATTCTATAATTTGATGAAGGATTTAGTCTTCAAATTAGATGCAGAACATGAGGAAGAAGCAAATGCTGCCTATGATCAAGTTCTGGAGTTGCTCGACACAGATCCAACAGCATCTCAATACTTTAACAGACAATGGCGTTACAACATATCAAGATGGATTGCTCGTGACAGGCGTGAAGGCGACGCAACTAACAATATTGCCGAAGCTCATTTTAGAACACTCAAACATGACTATTTTCCTGATCGAAAAAATCTCAGAATTGATGATGTTATTATAGAAATTTATACAAAAGTGATACCATCTTTCGTTATCAAACTCAAAATTGATCAAAATCCAGCAGATGACCGTGTTATTAGGATCATGGAAAAAGCAACTAACGCAGAAATTGATGTAAAAAGACAAAGAAAAATCGAGAGTATTTCAATGCTCAATAGATTGCTCAATGCTGTTAGTGATGACTCAATAGATCCCACTAAAATATATCCTACCTTGAAAGTATTATTACAAAGAACTCATTTTATTTAATTTTGATTTTAATTTGAGATTAAATTATTAAATTTTAATTCTTTATTTTTTAGGATTGTTAGCTTTGTAAGATTGCTTTCTCACAAGAGAAAACAAGTATAAGGTTTAAGCTGTATGTATTAAAGTTATAAATATTTGATTTTAAAAAAATCAAGATTTTAAACTTTAAAGGTATTAATTATGATTATCTTTCTTTAGCTTTGCATGCTGTATGCTACTTTTGGAAACTGCTCTATTGTATTAGAATGTTTTTAAATTTTGCACCTAAAATGCGTAATATTAAAAATTAAGGTATTAATTATGATTATCTTTCTTTAGCTTTACATGCTGTATGCTACTTTTGGAAACTGCTCTATTGTATTAGAATGTTTTTAAATTTTGCACCTAAAAATGCGTAATATTAAAAATTAAGGTATTAATTATGATTATCTTTCTTTAGCTTTGCATGCTGTATGCTACTTTTGGAAACTGCTCTATTGTATTAGAATGTTTTTAAATTTTGCACCTAAAAATGCGTAATATTAAAAATTAAGGTATTAATTATGATTATCTTTCTTTAGCTTTACATGCTGTATGCTACTTTTGTCTTTGAGACATTCCATGATTTAAGTTAAGAAGCTTTAAAAAAAAGCAAAAAAAAACAATTGAATACTTTACTGGCTGGGCAAATTTGTCGCCGCCCCGAAATTGATCGTTGCGTATCCAAATTCAAGATTTTTTGATAATTTTGCAGCTCTTTCCCATATAAAACAAATCTGTAGAACCAATTAACCATTTGTGTCAGGGAAATACGTAGAAATAACGAGGTTTAGAAAAAATCACACTTTTACAATTATGAATTAATAGGATGAAATATATTCAATATGAATTTTAAGGAACTAATTAAAAAAAAAAAAGGTAGTGGGGCCTCCAGGCACTTCGTGCCCTCTAGCCCTGAAGATGTTTAGTATAACTTTGTCCGGACAAGTAAGGGTCTATCGTCGCTACAGGAAAAGTTACAGGCGTTCCAAGGAAGTATACTTTGAGAAGCCTTTCCCCCCTTATAGAATGAGATAGGACGGTTATTTACAAAATGACAACACTTTGACCGAGTAGTTTTTTGTGCTGAACAAAAAGTGTCATATAAACATCTGTCAAAAACTGCTTTTTAACTTCACTTAAAATGCCACGTAAGCTACGTAAGAATATACGTAAGAGGAAGAGAGCATTGAAACATCCAATAGTAAAACTGACACACAACAACAGTTGCAACAAACAAATGATGAATGACCCACTATGTTGCAACAAATGTCAAGCAACCCTATGCTTTTAAACCGAGTTATTGGTGCACAGAGTGGAGTTAAGAGCGGCACTTTTAGCGAAAATGGCAGGCTTGGTGGAGCTGCAGACGAACAGCTTATAACCCTCAAAGTCAAATGAATTGAGTTCACTCAAAAATCAAATAACAGATGTCAAAAAGTCAAAATAGACATACAGAAACAAATAAATGAAAATGAAAAGAAACTAGAATATGACAGACACACAAAGAAACTAAATGAGTTAAACGTAGAGAAAAGAAGAAAGAAGAACAACTGAAAGAACTAAGTACAGAGGAATATGCGAAAAAAGTGTCAGAAAAAGCAGCAGAAGTAGCAAAAATGGAACAAGATGTTATAAATTTGAAAAACCATACTACTCAATATAAAGTACTGAAAGATGAAGAGATAAAACAAAAAAGCCATGAAGACATATATGGATAGCGATGAGTATAAAAAAGAAGTTGAAGCAAATGTAAAGGCAGAAAAACTTTTACAGTTGCAAAACCAAACCGTACAGTATGAAAACTTAGCACAAGAAAGTAAAATAACGACGCAGCCATGCAAAAGGCAATGAAAGCGCAGAATATATAAAAGCTAATAATGACTGGTTAGATGCCAAGCCAACGCTAAAGCAGCCCAACTTATAGGGTCAATAAGGACAAAAATACAAGCGGATGAAGACAGTTCAAATGAAGCTTTAATGAATGCTGACTTTAAGAACGCCTTCGAAGCTCTTCATAGTAAGGTGTGAAACTAGTGAACGACTTCTCATCTGGAAAGAAACTGAAGTCTGAAGGTTTCGAC